ACATTTCTCTCTTTATTATTATTATTTTTAATAAAATGCTGAAGTGGTAGGTAGATACAAGGTAAAGGTAGAAAACATAGTTTAGTGCTGTAAGAGAGCAAATGTAGATGATCAGGTGTGTGCCTGTAGACTATGTGTTAATCCAAGCTAGACAAGGGCAATAAAACATCCACGTATGCAGAAGATTTCTCTCAGAACAGGAGGGGGGAGGTTCTAAGCCTCACCTTTGACAACGGAATATTCTTGAAGTGAAAGTGTTTACTACCCGGCTTATTTTCCCAGCAATAGGTTGAGCACTAGAATTACAACTGCATCCAACAGTCTGCAGATCTGTAACCCTCCTTCATCACTGGGCAGAGCTCTTTATATAGTGACTCAGTCAGTAATAGCTCATTGCCTACGAGTGTGGGACCATTAGCCCAGCAGTAGGGCCATTACATCATCAAGTACTTTAGGGTCAGGTGAGGATCCCGGCCATGGAAACTTCCATTTTCCCCACAGAAGATCAAGAAGGTACAGAAGCTTAGGCCTTTGGTGGAGCCAGTTTCATAGCTCTGATGACACTAGTTAGGGCACAAATAACTTTTGCACTAAGTGTCATAGTTTAATTCTTTTTCACTTTTATGAGACGTAAGTCTTTTTCTAAAACCTGAACATTTCACTGCCATACACTTCTTTTTTTCTTCCTTTCCAAATACTATTTAGGGACAAGGATAAATATTATGTTATTTAGTTATAGGGGCACATGTGTGCTTTAAGGAGATGTTTAGTTGTACTGTTTTCCCATATTAGCTCTTAAAACACCATACCTCAAAAAAGAGATTCCACATTTATATCATTTCTATTAAATCAATAGTTACATTTAAGGGGTACATAATTACCCATACTTTTACAAAACACAGGTGAGTTTTTCCTTTTCTTAAAATTATGGTAAATATACAAGATAAATTGCCATCTTAACCATTTTTAAGGGAGCAGTACCGTAGTGTTAACTATATGCACCTCAATGTACAACAGATCTGTAGAACTTTTTCAACTTGTGAAACTGAAACTCTGCATCCGTTCACCAATTCCCCTTTTTCTACTGTCAGCCCTGCCTTCTGGTGACCACCGTTCTACTTTCTAATAGTTTCATTACTTCAGATACCTCATGTAGGTGGAGTCTTGCAGTATGTGTCCTTTTGTGACTGGCTTATATAACTTACCATAATGTCCTAAGGGTTCATCTATGTTCATCTAGCATATGACAGGATGCTTTTTTCTTAAGGCTGAATAATGTTACATTGTACATATATACCACATTTTCTTTATCCATTCAACCACTGATAAACATTTTATATTGTCTCCACCTCTTGACTATTGTGAATAATGCTGCAATAAACTTGGGTATGCACATATCTCTTTGGAATCCTGTTTTCAGTTATTCTGAAAATATAATCAGAAGTGAGATTGCAGGGTTATATGGTAACTGTATTTAACTGGATTTTGTATCCTGTAATTTTGCTGAAATTTTTATTAGTTCTAACAGTATTTTTATCTAATAGTGTGTGTTTGTGTATCTTTAGTGTTTTCTATGTATAAGATCAGGTCATCTCCAGAGACAATGTAACTTCTTTCTTTCTAATTTGGATGCCATTTATTTTTCTTGCCTAATTGCTCTGGTTTGGACTTCCAGTGCTGTGTTGGACAGATGTAGTGAGAGAGGGCGTTCTTACTTTGTTGCTGATCTCAGAAGGAAAGATTTCACTTTTTCACATTGAGTATGATGTTAGCTGTGGGTTTTTCATATATGGCCTTTACTATGTTAAGGTAATTTTCTTTTATTCCTAATTTTTTGAGTGTTTTTATCATGAAAAGGTGTTGAATTTTGTAAAATGATTTTTCTGCACCAAGTAAAATGATCATATGCTTTTTACCTTTCATTTTGTTAATGTGGTGTGCTATTACAATGATTGATTTTTGTATGTTGAACCGTCCTTGCATTCCAGGAATTCATCCTCCCACTTGAGCATGTATAATCCTCTTAATGTGTTGGCTGAATTTAGTTTGCTATGTTTTGTTGAGCATTTTTCATCAGGGATATTTTTCTTGTAGTTTTCTTGTAGTATCTTTGTCGGATTTTGGTATTGGGTAATACTGGCCTTATAGAATGAGTTTGGAAGTGTTCCCTCCTCTTCAATTTTTTGGAAATATTTGAGAAGGATTGGTTTTAATTCTTGTTTAGATGTCTGGTACGATTCTCTAGAGAAGCCATCTGGTCCTGGACTGTTCTTTGTTGGGAGGTTTTTGATACTGAAACAACTTCCTAACAAGTTGTGAGTCTATTCAGATTTTTTTATTTCTTCATGATTCAGTTTTGGTAGGTCATCCACCATTTCCAGAAGTCAATCCACGTCTTCCAGGTCACCCAGTTTGTCGGCATATTCCTGTACTCACTTCCTCCGGGTTTCACGGGGTCTTGTCAGTGTTTTCAACTTCTCAGCAGTGAAGATGTTTTACAAGCCACTTCACATGCCTGTTTGTTCTCATTTCCCCTTACGTGTCTCAGGGAAGAGTCAAAAAATTCCCGAGGCAAGGCATAAAAAACCAGTTTACAGGCAATTGGATTTTTAGGATTAATATGAAAAAAAAATAGCATTTGAAAATCTGACATGAGATGTTTTTGATTTTCACTCAAACTAATGTTGAATATCTTTTCATGTTGTAATTTGCAAGGTCTTTTTAACCTTCAAAGCCTAACAATGAAATATAAATGATGATGGTAACCTAATCTCTCTATATTAAATGCACTTAGGCTTCTTAAACCAAATGGGATTTCTGACTTAACTGCAGTCTCTACTCTATAATTTCCAATATCAAATAGTACTTCCTGAAACTAAGTACGTGAAAAAATAACCAGTATTATTAATTAGCACCCTGAAAGTTCATGCTGATGATGGGATTGGTTCTGGCCCCTTCACAGAACCTCTTCAGAGCAACTTTGGTCATCAATACAGTTCACCTTTCTTACATGGTCACTGGGTGGTGACAAGCTCCCCCATCAAAGATCCTCACTTGCAGTTAATGGCATCCAAGGGAGCAGACATCCACAGACCCCTGACCTGGGTTAGATGGAGACCTGGGCAGGTGGAGATGCTTTTAGCTAGTGCTTTAAAGCAGCAAGGACTTAGCAAAATTCAGGCATGGGAATGAGTAGCCACTGCTGTCAAAGTGTGCAACTTGGGTCATTGGATGTAAATAGTCAGAGGGAATAGAGTCTTGGACCAAGAGGAGGAGAAAAGAGGTGCTGCCCTGGACAGGGAACTTAAGCTGGGGCAGAGAAGACTGAGACCAGATCTCTGGGGGGCTCTTAAGGACAGGCCCAGACTGTCATGCTGATCTCATTGGTTTGGGGGTTAGAGGGTTGCAGAGGTTGGTGTGAAGGTATGGGTGTGGGTGTCTTCTGGTTTGGGGGAGAGAGAGGGTGTTGTTTAAAGGGAAAAGGTCTGGTGACATAGGCTACTGAGCCCATGTGAGCTTGAACTTGACTGGCTGGAAGTCACGTTGGCGGCTGTCCGCTGGTGCATGGGTGCAGAAGACAGTGCGGCAATGCCACAGCCCTCAATGTTGGCTTCACAGTCTGTCTAACTCAGTATCCCTGGGCTTGTTCCATTCTGAGATTGGAGGTTGGCTCACAGTCAGCTCTTGTTGGCAGAAAAGTGTTAAATAGTATTAAAGAATAAAGGCAAGATGTAAAGTGGTCTCGGCGTCAGCGGTGCTTGTACTTCTGTGTTGTGTGACTTGGGCAAAGCTGTTCTCCCCATGAACTGAGCTTTGCTGGGGACTCTTTCAAACATGACCTACAGAGTCAAGCTGGGAGTCACGAACCCACCACTTTCTGTGTCTATGTGCCTTTACTCCAGATGCTTTTATATTCCGCCATTTGTTCAGTGACATGCTAGCCACGATTTGAAAGGATAAATGGTTTAATTGCACAGGTTTTAACTATGGCCAAAGTAGTGTAATCACTAGATTCAAAGATTCTCATTTATGTGTTTAGTCAAAACCATTTTCATAAAAGGGATACATCCTTGATTCTCTAGATAGAAATCTGAGAGTCAAAACCTGATGATTCTTCTCTGCCCTGTTTTCTTTCAGGCCCACACGTGGTGCTTAGACAAATTCACAATGAGGAAGCGTGGCCCTTGGCCCGCAGCGGCTGTCTTCTGCTCCTTTCTCTTAGGCTTTTCCTTTACTTATGCCCAACAACAGCAAGCAGGTAAGACCCAGAAACATTGTTTAATTTTATTAAAAGGAATAGTGCTTCCTAATTCTAGAGCTTAGACATCACAGGCCTGATATCAGGCTTAGATATGCTTTTCAGGGATAGTAAGCCATTTATTGCAGGGTGTTCATTTAGTTTATAGACCTTTTCAGATACTCTTTATCTAGTGAGAGATGGCGTGTCTTTACTAAACTTTGGGTTTGATATCTTGGAGTTGGTTTGCAAGTGGTTTGTTTTTATATCAAGTATGAGCAGAAAGTTGTACCACGAATTTTTACCATCTGAAGAGCTTTTCCACATTTCTGGCACTGGTTGGTCCTTGAGCACATAAAACCAGAAGACAACTATTGAGAGCAAAAATTATCTTCCTTGAAAACAAAAAACACAGCTCACCCTCTATAATTCTAGAGACAGAAAGGTATTTTTCACCTAGGATCATTAAATCTTTAAAAAATCAGTTTCCAAAAACTGTTTTAAAATCTAGATCCTGATTAACCCTATTAAGAATTTGCTGGCAGAGTTTTAGGAAATGGAAAAGTGCCTCATGCGTTGTGAGCTTGGAAGGACTGACCTGGGCCTTCCTCTCCTGTGCCTGGAGAGCTGGGCTGCGGGCATGAACTCTCCCACGAGGCCTGGCAGTTCCTAGACGGCAGGCAGGTGAGAGCTGCCTCGGTGGAAGGGGAGCGCTGGGGCGTCAGGGTCGGCCCCAGGGAGGCGGAGCCCAGGAGCCCACCCTGCACGGCCACCTGGCCCACGGCTGCAGGAAGACCCTCCCGGACACTGACAGCTGGGCACCCTGAGTCTCCTGTTCTTCCTTTCAGGTGGAATCAGAGTCACCTTTGAAAGAGATAAATGATGTCCAACATCTATCGTAGCTTTTCTGGCAGTGAAAAAAATGTCACTAGTGAGGGTCTCTTTATTCATGCTGAAAAGTCTAGGAAAAATGGCTTTCTTTATAGTGACACTCGCCTTCCACTGGGGGAGACATCCATGACATTTATTTACCCCAGGCGCTGGGGGTTAGTTAGTGGAAGATGGTAGTAGTTTTCACATTCCGTCTTGTCAAGGACTAACTTTGACCCCAAACTACAGAAGATATTTGTGAAATGATGGTCGGTTATCTGATAAGGTGTCCATCCCTCCAGCCTGACCAGGTGGGTCTTGGGGCTCAGACTGCCACAAAGAATGATGCTTGAGTAAAAAGACACCCCAGAGCCTGCTGCAGGTTCACGTACAGGGGTCACTGCCTATGGGACTTGGGCCCGTGACTGGACACCAGTAGCTGTTGAGGCCATGTGTCCAGGTCCCTCCATACTTCTCAGGTAAGTCAGCCTTCCTGCTCATATTGCTAGTGAGGTGCGAATCACTTAGTGACAGCACAGCGTGAACTGAATTGGTTTAGGAAGGCTTTGCACTGGTAGGGAGAAATTGCTTGAACAGGAGAAAAATCTAAACCAATGTCTTTTTTTAAAGATGTCAAAAATGGTGCCGCTGCCGATATAATATTTCTAGTGGATTCCTCTTGGAGCATTGGGAAGGAACATTTCCAACTTGTCCGGGAATTTCTATATGATGCTATAAAATCTTTAGCTATGGGAGAAAATGATTTCCGTTTTGCTCTGGTCCAGTTCAACGGCAACCCACATACCGAGTTCCTGTTAAATTCGTATCGTACTAAACAAGAAGTCCTCTCCCATATTTCCAACATGTCTTACACTGGGGGAAGCAATCAGACTGGAAAAGGATTAGAATACGTAATGCAAAATCACCTCACTAAGGCTGCTGGAAGCCGGGCCAGTGACGGAGTCCCTCAGGTTATTGTAGTGTTGACCGACGGACACTCGGACGACGGCCTTGCTCTGCCCTCAGCGGAACTTAAGTCTGCTGATGTTAACGTGTTTGCAGTTGGAGTTGAGGGTGCAGATGGAGGAGCCTTAAAAGAAATAGCAAGTGAACCGCTCAATATGCATGTTTTCAACCTAGAGAATTTTACCTCACTTCATGACGTAGTAGGAAACTTAGTGTCCTGTGTGCATTCATCCGTGACTCCAGAGAGGGCTGGAGGCACAGAGACCCTTAAGGACATCACAGGTAATAGCAATGTGGCCAAGCTGCTGCCTGCCTTGCTAGTCTTTGCCGATAAGCTTGGCGACCGCTGGCGTTAAAGCAACACTATGGCTTAAAGATGCGGGGGGATTAGGGAAGAGATGGCTGTTCACAGGCTTAAAAACAAAGGTTTGCATATTCTCTGTAGTCTCCTTCTCAAATAGAGCATTCACCTACATTCAAGAGGGTGTTTTTTGAAACAGTTAAATTTGAAAGCTACAAAAACACATTCTAATAATAGTATGACCCCCAAAGAGTTACTTCTATGATCCTTGGGAAAGGGAGCCTCAGGCGGCAGGGCAGGCATCTAACAAAACCCCTGCCGTCTGTTATTGGAATAGAGGGCCCGTTGCCTTTAACGAAAGCTCCTTGTTATCTGAAAGCACATGAGCTGGAGCTGGGCGGGGTGCAAAGGGGGTCCACTATGTGTCCCCAGAGTAACAGAGAGCACTCTGGGATGTATTTCAGAGAGCTGACGGAATTAGAATTGTAAGAAGCCTTAGATGTGATCCAGTCCATATTTGTTTAGAGGAAGTTGAGTCCTAGAGGGTAAGTGACATGCAGTTAGTGGAAGATCCAGAGCTCAGCCCACTCCTCCCTGCTGTAACCATGGCTGTGCCCACGGAGAGGACCCTCCCCAGTGCCACTCAGAAGTATTGATAATACATGGGCATTACATTGATGGGTTATTACACAGTGATATGTACAGAACTAACTGGCAGGCAAGCTATTTACCCAGGCAAACCCATTAGCGCTCCTTCCAGTGCTAAGTGTCTAAAAGACCAATAGGGAAGGAATTTGGGAAGTACAATTTCAGATAAACTGTGCTGCCGCAATTTTGACCAATGCCTGTGGGAAGCTTACTCATCAGCGTTAGACAGGGAGGAGGGACCTCCATCTGTCAGGAAGTGAGTCCATGCAGCCAATTGAAAGTCAGTGGCAGAGAATTCTGGGAGAGAGGCAGGGAGTTAGGGTGGAATCAAGGGTCTCGGGGGAGAGACAATCTCCAAAAAGGAGACACATGTCCTCTGAGATGGAGGGAAGGGAAAAGATTTGGGTAGACAGAGTCCCAGCTCAGCTGGCATCTATAGTCCCAATAAGAAAAGAAGACGGAGGGACAGAGGCAGTGGTGTTTGTGAGCATGGAGGGATTTTGTTTTGACCAGAGGCTGTAGGGCTGTGATGAAGGGTCCTCAGATATTTAGGAACCAGCCGCCCGCTTGCAGTGGCAAGCAGGTGTCAGCCGAGATTACAAGCCTGTGATCTGCCGTTGGCTTGGCACCCTGACCTACAGATATTGCAGGCCCTCCTGGAATACAAGGAGTGGTCAGGTATGGAGCTGGCCAAGAGAAAGCGACAGAGGCCAGGTCACCTTGGGAAGGAAATCTAGAATGGCTGCAGTGGACTCCGGAGACAGCCCGCCCTGGGGTCCTGGCTGGGTGGGGTTGAGAGGCCAGGGTGAGGGAGGGGACCTGGGGGCTGCAGAGGGTGTGAACGGGGGATGCTGCCATTGTGTGTGGAGGGAGACTTTGGGGGACAGATTGTGGGGTGGAGGAGTTTCAGGGGATGCTGGCAGAGCAGCCCTACATGCTTAGGGTGCGGCAGACAGGGGCGCACCGGATGAGGAGGCTGGAGCCCAGGAGGCCGAGCCGTACAGACCCAAAGCCTCCGGGGGTGAGCCCAGGGTGTGCGGCGTGGATCTGACTGCCGTCACGAGCAGGTTGGAGGATCCCTTCAGTGGACTTAGCTGCAACAAGGAAGGGGGACTCTCTGAATGGAGAAAGAATGGACTGGCCAGCGGGCCTCGGTAGGAATGCACCCACGGCGGAAGGAGTGGTTTACAGCCCCTGAGCTTCTGGAAGCTCAGGTCACCACCAAGCGGGTTTCAGAGACAGGAGGCGGGCGGGGAGGTGACTGGCAGGCCAGTCTCTTTTTAATTCAGATGTTGGAGGGAGAAGGAAGAAGGAAGGACTTGGGGTTTTGAGGCATAAATCCACCAAAGGGCCATGTGGGAGGGGCTGCAGAAGTCCAGAGGGGCAGGAGGGATCCAGAGAAACAGAGCTTTCTGGATTGTGATGAGAACAGTGGGAGAGGGCAGATACACAGCACAGACGCCGGGTTTTCATAGCAGATTCACAAAGGGGTGAAGTAAAGGGACTGGATGTCAGGAGAAAGGAGCCGGCTGTCCCGGGCAGGCCGAGCCAGTTACGGGAAGGGCTCCAGAAGGGCCACCCCACGGAGCTCCAGGAGGCGGTGCACAAGATGGTCTCCCTGGTGGTTGCCCATGACCTCAGCTTTGACGGGGCGGCAGTGCCGATGGCCCTACAGTGAGTCCGCCTCTAACAGGGAGGAGTGTGTGGCGGCCTGGATAGTTGGTATTAAACACTGAAACAGGCTCTCTACCTCCAATGCCATGCCTCACCCCTGTACTGTGACGCCGGTGTCCCTCCTGCCAGGTTCCAGGAAGAGAAGGTGGGGTCCTTGAGAGCACCCCAAACCTGACCCTCCAGATCACAAGGACATGACGCGTGTCCATGATGACCTGCTCTATTCGCTGCCCTGTTTCCAGTATCCATCACTCACTGATCGTCACATGGATAAAAACGAATCCATCCCCCAAACAGTGCAGGGGATCAGTAGAGAAATAGGTCATCTTTTCTTTATGGCTGTTTTGGCCAACTCAGAAAAGAGGGTGGCTGATTTTGCCTTTAGGTGTGACCTTTATATAAATGTGCCAATTGATTACCATCTGAATGCTCAAGGGGCCTATCCGTGCAGTATGTTTCCACACAGAGGATAAAACCTTTGTTTTTATGCCGAGAAAGCATCTCTGTCTTCTAGTGTTGAAGCCACTAGCAGCACCAGGGTGGAATATTAATCCATTTATGTCGTCTCTTCTAATTAACTCCACTCTGTGATTCTGCCAGTATCATGTCCCACTGCATGTTCCACTGCAAAAACACAAAATAATAACCATTCTCTTTTTCTGATTGTAGGGAAAGGCAGTCAGGAGGCATTATAGAGTTTGCTAGTAAGTGAGGGCCAGCTCTTCCCATTGCTGTCTACCAGGTGACTTCTCCCCATAGAATGTTCTTGATTATACAATTTAAATGTGTACAAAATGTTAATGCTCCCCATTGTTCTACATGAACTCTGCCCTAGTAATTAGTCTGAAAGTTGTATTTTTGAAAATCCCTTTGTCATTCTTTCGTAAATAGATATCACTAAAATAAAAAAAGCTTTATACTATAGTGAAAGCTAAAGGTGACATGTGGTCAGTAAGGATTTTACTATGAACATTTTTTTCAGCAAAATATAAAGATTTCAAAAACTCAGTGAAACCTACCTACAATGTTTGTGTTTACAAAGGAAACATGAATGTGACCTTTTAAATTTTTCTTAAGAAAAGGAAGCGTCCCATGAGCTAAGGAAGGCATTGTGCCCCCACGAATACGCTCAGGAAAATGTGTTTCCAACGGTGTTGTAGTAGCCTACAAGTTTTCTCTGGACATGGCACAAGTTTTCCATAGAAAATGCTGCAGAGGGTATGAAATGTGAGCCATTAAAGCAGAAAATCAGACAATCACATTTTACATTTCAGATAGGCCTAATTTCCCATGGAGTCAATACTGGTCATTGGTATGCCTTGCTGTACACAAGAATGTGTAGCTCTTGTGTCTATCTGAGGCTCTGGTTCTCCTGGGTAACACAGCATGCCCTTGTGTGTCCTGTCATTGTGTGCATAAGAGGACAATGGTGTTTTTTCAGTGATGACAAATTATCCAACATTTTTCTATGACTTGCTGCTGTTCAGCCTTTTAGGAAGAAATGTCCAAGTATTTTCCTTCAGGGCTTGTTTGTCTTATTGATGTTTTTGTACATTGCAATAAAAAAGCAACAATGTGATAAATCAGTTAGAATAGTAAATTGATTAGGACTGTGTCATCCTGTGATTTAGGCATCATTTTTCTTTTATTGACTCTAGGCTCGTAACTGATTCTTCTTTTAAATGTCTTGGCTCCCAGAGGAAGCAGCGAATCTCGCCTTGTCCCCTGGGGTCATTGGTTTAGGCCTGGCAAGTGTTGAGGGGTTTTGTGGTGTGATTTGCAGAGCCTCTAGCTTCTATGAAGTGTGGGCCATTTCTCTACCCAGCTGTGTTATGAACAATCCTGCTACTGCACCCTCCCTAAGATCCTTCAGGAATCTTAAGTTTTGGCTAAAGAGGAGCAATGCTTTGGAATTCTTAGCAAAGGCCCAGTCTTATTTAATACCGTCTTAAGGCCATTATTAAAAATGTAAGATCTTAATTATTGTAGCAAAAAATTTTTCTTCTTGCTAATCTACTATTTCCAAGTTAATATCTTATAAGGTTTTATATGATATTTCCAAGTTAGTATCTTTCCCTGTGCAAAGCATTCATCTACAAGGATATTGTCAGGGATTTTGTGTATATATGGGAAGAAAGAACACTTCTGATTCTAACAATCCCTGGCTCAGCTTATATGACAAGAGAAAAGTGGTAAGGACATATTTCACTACAGCAAAATTCTTTAGTTTTTGAGATGTTTGTATCTTGCTTCCACAGTGAGAGCAAATGCAATTTTGCTGACACAGGATAAGTTAATTTTAAATATGAAGTGTTTACTGTCATTAAAAAGATCAGAATAAATCTTTTTTTATATAATACAACAATTACACCCGGAATATAGATCCCTAAAGTCTTAGAACAGAACTATCATATATGCTCACATAAAAACCCTTCCTCTTCTTAATACACACTTAAGTTATTAAAAAAACATTTACCAGAATAATTTTGCTGTTTCTCTAGTTTAAATCAGTCCGATATAAATATTCTAGCTGAGGTTTTGAAATATTCTGCTCAGGTTTGTAGATTTATTGTTCGCTATTCATTGCTCAGGGCATCTGTGAAGCCCCATTCTTAGTTAACAGAACGGAAGTCTCTTTTTTTGCCATTGTGGGGAGAGCAGAGGTCTTGGTTAGCCACTTTTATGTCCATTTGTATATGGACATAGGTATAACCCCAGAGCAGAGAAAACAAGGAGTTTTCCGATGCTTATGGTCTCATTAGCGATCAGTTTAGAATGTCATAAAAATAAGGTTGGATAATTATGTCATGACTGGTCACTATCACTCTGCTTAACATAATTCTGCATTGTATGATTGAATATAGAGGCGATAGCACAAACATCTTAACCAAACATCTTGCCTAGTCCCAGAACGGCATTTGACTTCCATCCAACTGAACATCACACAAGGAAAGAAAATCAAACCAAAAATGTATCAGAGTATTTTTAAAATTAGAACTTTCAGTACAGTCTGAGTTCTTTTTTTCAAATTCACGAAGTTGCATGCATGCAGTCATTTTGGTTTTTAAAGAAAAAAGAAAGAAGCGATAGTTGCTCAAGTGTTTAACGTACTGGAATGAGGGGTCACCGGAACCTGAGATTCTGTTTTGTAGCTGTGGAGGTGGACAAAGAAAATCTTACGATCACCTGAAGATTATAAGAGAAATTTCTAAAAATTAGGCATTTTTAGACATATGTCTAGAAACTAAAAACTTTGGACCTTCATTAATAGTGCACTCCTTAATTTCCTCCTGTCCATATGGTAACGCACAGTTGTAATAACCACATGGCCCTCCAAATTTAGTGGAAATTTTTAGAATGTGTATCTATGGTTTCACAGAAAAGTGACTATGATGTTCTAAAATTTAACTATAAATATTGCACAAATAGAAATTCGATACAATATCTCTATTTCACACCGTCATTTCTAAGAAGTTGCCTCTTATCCATTCAGAATGCAGAACTGAAAGAATTTCACGTTCCTGAACGTGTTTTGTTTGTCCATATTTCGTGTTTCTTATTGTTTTCCAAAGAAACATGTCAGAACACTGAACATGCATGTAGTCACTTGTTCTAACGCTTTCACATTTTTTGCATTTCTTTCTTTTAAAGCACAAGACTCTGCTGACCTTATTTTCCTTATTGATGGATCAAACAACACCGGAAGTGTCAATTTCCCAGTCATTCGCGACTTCCTTGTAAATCTCTTTGAGAGACTCTCAATTGGAGCTCAGCAGATCCGAGTGGGGGTGGTCCAGTATAGTGATGAGCCCAGAACCATGTTCTCCTTGGACACTTACTCCACCAAGGCGCAGGTTCTGGAGGCAGTGAAAGCCCTTGGTTTCATGGGTGGGGAGCTGGCCAATGTGGGCCTTGCCCTGGATTTCGTGGTGGAGAATCACTTCACCAGGGCAGGAGGCAGCCGAGTGGAGAAAGGGGTTCCCCAGGTGCTGGTCCTCATAAGTGCCGGGCCTTCTAGCGATGAGATCCGCGACGGGGTGGTAGCACTGAAGCAGGCTAGCGTGTTCTCGTTCGGCCTCGGAGCCCACGCCGCTTCCAGGGCAGAGCTTCAGCACATAGCTACCAATGACAACTTGGTGTTTACTGTCCCGGAGTTCCGTAGCTTTGGGGACCTGCAGGAGCAATTACTGCCGTACATTGTTGGTGTGGCCCAAAGGCACATTGTCTTGCAACCGCCAACCATTGTCACACAAGGTACGTATGCTCTTCTCGCCATCTGTGTGGGACCGGGGTGTTTTGTGTGTTGGCTTTTGTGTGTGTAGAGGTAAGGTGGGCACCTTACAGAATGACTCGTCTCAGCAGAACCTGTAAGTACCCACCGTTGAGTCCTTCTTGGATGACTTAGCTCTTGGAAGTGATGTCTGTGCTTACAGCCGTGTTGGAAAAAACAAGATCCATAAGTGAGGGCAAAGCTCTCGTTAGAGTCATCAAGAAAGTGTGCTTTTAAGGCTCAGAGAAACCTGTTACTTTGAGACGATTAAATGTCACTGTACCATCTACTGATAAGCCAGTCAGTTGTCTGAAAAACAGACTTCAACTTTGACAAAAATACTCCAGGACCACTTGGCCCTGGCTCTGAAAGGCAGCATGCTAGGGGTGTGCTCACAGAAAAGTGAGGCTGTCTCCCCAGAGTCCTGTCTGTGCTGGGGTGTTGGGAGTGGCACTCCTGAAGGTAAGAAATCACAAAGCTCTCACTTGGTGGAACATTTACGAAAACCATTTTTTGGGGGTTTATCAAGTTTAGGAGTAATTCTTTTGAGTGAGGAGATTATGATGTACACTTAAATGGAGGGTCTTTGGCAAAAGAGCCCGATTGAAGTGATGTAGAAACATAATGAACATACATTTGACAAATGTGTTTCAAAATCCGAGTGGGAATGTAGTTGCTCTCCAGGCTGCGGGAGTCAGAAATCAGGCAGATGTGCCTGCTACGCTGCCTGGTGGGCTCAGCTGCCTGCCTGAGGCTTCATGGCCAGTGATACGAAGCCTACTGCCATGCGGGAGAAATCAGAACCGATGTGAAATTACATCCTGAAAATTCTCCTGATATTTCTAGACACCCCTCCCAGTGGAATGGAACATACTAAGGTTTCTCTGGGCTTGAATACTTTTGGAAACAGATTATTTCCACAGGTTTTGTAAAAGCTAAGGGAGTACCATGACTGCAGTTGGTCCCCGGGTCTTGTGTTAACCAGCTGTGTGATTCTGGGCAGGCCACATTACCTCTCTGGACTTCAGTTTATTGAATTTACCTTAAAGATATTACAGTAGATGAAGGCATTTCTGTTTCAGGAGAAATTTCAAATTTTTAAAATTTATGGGCAGCGCATTGCCCTCGATGCAGTTTTTCCTGGCTACCTAGGATGTCGACTCCTCATTTACAAACGTCATCTTTAGTCTTTGTGATTCATTTGTGAATATTCAACAAATACTCTTGGCTATCCGGTATGTGCCGGACTCTAAGCCAAGCACTGGAGGCAGTGACAGATGTGGCCACTAGCTCGTTGCTCTGTGACGGGAACATGGGTGGGAAAAACCAAACCAACGGCAAACAGAGTATGCCAAGTGTGAGAAGTCCTGCGAGGTCATGAGGGTGTTGTGCTGGGAAGAGTGGGGAAGATAGTGTGAGTGGGGGGGCCACGGGAGGCTCTCCAGGAAGCTGCAGTAAAGTGACCAGCAGGTGAGGAGTGGGGAAAAGGTGTCCCAGGGGCGGCATGGAGAGCTGGGCCTCTTGGCAGAGCTGCAGGGAGGCAGCGGGGTTGGGGCCCCTGCGGTACATGGAAGGCTGGAGAAGCGACTAGCTAGGGTGTAGGCCCTAGCAGCTCTACTGTGGGCACGACAAGTGTGAGGTGGGCATGGCCTTGGGGGCTGACCACTGCATGTGGGTTGGGGGGACAGGTTTGGGAGTGTGGGTGGGACAGAGACGAGGCTTCGGCGGCCGGGCTGCAGAGGCTGGGCTGCGCGCTGGGCAGGGAAGGAAGCTGGGGGGGAGCAGCCAGGAAGGGGGAGACCCAGGAGTGCAGCATCTGGAGCCTCGAGGGGGAGAGGCTGCCTGGGAGGCAGCTGCTGAGAAGCTGGGCTGGATGAACACCAAGAGCACCCACTGCCTGTGTCCCCATGGAGGTCACTAGTGGCCGTATGGATGGTCTCACTGGAGCGATGGTGGTGGCTGGGGACAGGGGACGAGAGGAGACCTGGCCAGGACAGAAGGTGGGCTGCTGTGGAGTCGCGGTGCGCACGGGGGCTGAGGCTCCCCCAGAGTGCCTCCACTGTCTCCATGCCTGGCCGGTGGGGAAGGCTGAGCAGGGACCAGGGAGGAGGGACGGTGCCGCCCCCAGAGACCCCGTGTGCCCAGTGGCTGGGACTGGTGGCCGCCCGCGGCCTGGGGGCTCTGAGCGTGAGGTGCCAGCGCCTGGCAGTGTGACACCTGAAGAATGTCCAGCTCCTGGGTGGTGCAGGAGGAGGGTCAGAGGCCGGCTTTGTCGGGAGCTCCGAGGGAGCGAGGACCAGGGACTGAGGGCACCAGGCGAGGCAGGTGGGGCAGGAAGGGCTGATTGGCAGGGAGGTGGACAGTTGGGCTCAGGTGGCTGCAGGAGGCTGGTGGGGGGGCCTGAAGGCGGCTGAGTGACGTTTCAGAGGCGAGGCAGACTCTGGGGGTGCGCAGGCCAGCTGGGCCCTAGGCAGGTGCTGGGGGCAGGAGGACATGCTCTGTTTCTTAGGCCAGGGCTAGGGTAGGACTAGGTGGAGAGGAAGACCACGCCGAGGGAGGTGGTGGATCGGGGTGTCCGAGGAGACCTTGGAAACAGAAGCATCGGAGAGCGAGGACAGGCACCCGTCCTGGGTCCTCGGGCTGTAGGGCGCGTGCTGCTGTTGGTCACCATGGGGTCAGCGGGCCTTCAGGTGGTCCCCCAACAGGGGCATTTCAGACCCAGTCCTGCAGAACGTGTGAAAGAGAGGTGCTGGCTCTGTGTGGGCTGGCGTCCTGCTCCAGGAGGAAGGCAGCCTCTTACTGGAGGGGAGAAGGGCTGCCACCCAGCCCCACCAGGGACTGAAGGTTGGTCCGTCTTTCTGTTCAGCTTCATGTATGTTACATGCATGTCATTGAGTGGAGGGGTCTCTGCTCTGGTGTCAGCCTCTGGCAGCTGTGCTGCAGGAGGGGTTGAGCGTGTCCAGTGTCACTGTTCTTGGATGTGCATAAACAGCACACATGCAGTTAACTGTACAGCATACGTGTGTCTTTTATGTGTATGCGGTGGGGCGGCGTGTGGCACTCAGCCTCCTTCAGTGCGGAGAGCAGCACGCATGCCACCCACCTGCAGGTCTCCTGAGAGACTGAGGACTTGGAATTACTGTTTCTGCCACAACTCGATGGCAAAGCGGTGGTCCCATGTGCCTGTCCCTGCGTATTTTGTGTCTACGTAGCACTTAGATGTTTTCTTTTAAAGAGGAGAGTTTGGACCAATAGTGTCAGCATGTCACGTAAATTCAAGTGGTACAGATAATTCGTGTGCTGTATGGGGTAACTGAGGCCTCCTCGTGTCCAGACAATTATTTAAATATCGCAAACACTCCTGCCTCAGCTTTACCATTTATGTTATTGTAAGTCTTGGAAGCTCTAGCAGGTTTTGGGTTGGGGGTTGTGGCCTCAGACCATTCTTTGTCCCGGGCTGCCTACAGGCTGATAAAACAGGTGGGTGGAAGTTCACGGTCACCCTCAGGCCGCCGTCTGGCCCACGTGTGTTTGCTGTGAGGTTCGCCTCCCGGTTCAGGCAGTCTGAGCATGTAGCCGAGGACCTTCACAACCCAGGCCTCTTAGATGAGGTCACTTCTGTGCCACCATCGATTTCTTTTTTATAAGTTTTATGCTGCTAAGTAATCAGGTTTTTTTTTTTTCTTTCTGAAAAATCAAGGCTTGGAAAATAGAACTGAAGGGAATGGGAGTGTTCATGCTCCCAGCGTCTGGGCGTGGTGGTGGGCGGTCATGAAGCCCAGCTTGTGAAGCCAAGTGCCCCCCGAGCAGACGCTCACGGCTTCGTGATTATTTGAGCTATGGCTTCATCTGGCCTCACAAGTCCGAGCTGTAGGTTTATGGCAGAAAAGGGCTCCCTGACTTTTTTAGTGATGACATGATAAATAATCGGTTACTAAAACTAAATTTGTTTTTGTGCCACTGCTCTTTGTAAAAAGTACTAAGAGTGGGTAGAGGGGTGGGTTGGGAGCCAACCTGCCATATGGGAGAAGGAAGCAGCCTTAACAAATTAGTGTATGTGTTCCGGTGAATTCCTAAGGGGCTGCCAACTGACTTCCTACGGGCGTCCTTTGGGTGGGGTGAGCTGTGTAGAGTCATAGTTGGATGTGATTGGTTAGGCCTCTGCATTCACCTTATGACGTTGCTACCTGCAGTCATCGAAGTCAACAAGAGGGACATAGTTTTCCTGGTGGATGGCTCATCCATGCTGGGACCGGCCAATTTCCATGCAGTCCGCGAATTCATCACCAAAGTCATCCAGAGACTGGAGATCGGACAGGACCTTGTCCAGGTGGCAGTGGCTCAGTATGCAGACACCGTGAGGCCAGAGTTTTATTTCAACAGCCACCCCAATAAAAGGGAAGTCATGACCGCTGTGCGGAAAATGAGACCCATGGAGGGTTCAGTCCTGTACACAGGCTCTGCCCTGGACTTCGTTCGGAACAACCTGTTCACTAGTGCTGCTGGCTACCGGGCCGCCGAGGGGGTCCCTAAGCTTTTGGTGCTAATCACAGGCGGTAAGTCGCTGGATGGAGTCAGCCAGCCTGCCCAGGAGCTGAAGAGAAGCGGCATCATGACGTTTGCCATTGGGAACAAGGGTGCCGACCAGGCTGAGCTGGAAGAAATTGCTTTTGATTCCTCCCTGGTGTTCATCCCTGCTGAGTTCCGAGCCGCCCCTTTGCAAGGCATGCTTCCCGGCCTGCTGGCACCTCTCAGGACCCTCTCTGGAACCACTGAAGGTATGGTGGGGAGGGTGTCAGACCCACAGTAGGGGACCTCTGGGCAGAGCCTTTGAGAAACGAAACAAAGTTCTGTTTGTGTTCAGCTAAGAGACAAACTCTTAAATGATGGAAGCAGCAGCAGTAGACACGATGTATTTCAGGTTTCCTTTTACCCTGAGTTGGGATATGTATGACTTACATGTCATAAGAAGCAACTATATGTCTTCAATATCATATGCTAAGAACTGTATGATTTCAAATGTCATGACTTAAAAATCCCACGACGTAAACCAGAGGACCAGGGACTGCCTGTCTTTGGAGCTTCCTGCCAAGAGGGTCACTTCTCAGCTCCTAGTCTTGTAGGTCCCAGTGCCCTGCTCCTCCTGGGGTGCCTGTCTGACCTCCTTCTCCCTCCACCAAGACGTAGCTGGACCCTTCCTTTCCTGAGCTGGCAGCACACCTCTGAGTGCCTGAACCTGTCCACTCTCTTGAAGGGGTTTCCTTCAGTTGAAAGCACAGTGAACGAAGGGGTGTGATGGGAAACACCCACTGGTTCTTTGAATCCCTCTTTTAATGTGATAATCAAAGACACCACACAGGCCTCTGAGCTTACAAAGCGGATAAGTACAAGTCACCGTCCTTAATGAAGATGCATATCACGGACACGACCTTTCCTACCTCACAGCCTTTGCCACAGGAGCACTGCTTGTTGCATGACCCATGTTGCACGAATGCATGCATGCTTTGACCTCAGGCCCTCGGGCCTTCTCACCCCTTCTCCCCCTTTCTTTTAATTTCCTTAAAACTTCTAATCCACACTTTCATAGCCAAAGTTGAATTTGATAGAAAGTAGGATAAAATTAACTGTTAGATCTAAATTTTAGTGAGACGCCAGGGAAGAAATTGGAAGTCATTTTTAAAAGGCATGTACTAAACATGTTTGTGCACATCTTCTAATTTGAGGATCATGCTTTTGATTCTTCACATGTATAACATTAGTCAAGCATAGCAAAGAATCTCCCTGCATCCTGACATGACCCAGGATCCTGTAATCTCCCTCGGGAGGAATTCCCACGGGCACTTTGTTGGATTATGGCCTGGCAATGCTGTGACTCCCGACAGTAGAGTCCCAGTGAGGAGCGACCCGCGAGTAGGCCTGGGAATACCTCGTGATGAGAACAGCCTCATTGTGTTAATTTTTGTTTGAGCCTTCAGGAACTCATGACCTCAGATTATTTTGGGCTAACACTTCTAAGCTATCTCTAAGTGAAAATCTCTCTGCAAACGTGCAGAGGTGGCCCTAGGAGGATCCAGTCTCACACACGTAAACCTGGCTGTGACTGTAGCCATGAACAGAAGCAGGGCAGAAAGGCACAGGGGAATTCATTTTGAGGGAAGGGATGTTCTGTTTCAAGGACTCGGGTCATTTCTGTTGGTCGCAGACATTCTAACTGTGGCACTGTATCCCTCTGTGGGCCAAGTTAGTTTCGTAAACTTGGCTGTCAATATGCCTCTCAAACACCGGCCGCTCTAGAGAAAATATGCAACCTTTTGCCATATTTTGCAGGACGGACGTGCTTTGCCTCTGATTGTCTGTGTGTTCTAATGTTGGCATGTGTGCCCGTGTCATAAGCACACATGAGAAGACCCTCTGTGGTTGTGTATGTCTCACTTTGTTTTCTGTGCTCCACTGCAGTTCACGTAAACAAAAGGGATATCATCTTTCTTTTGGATGGATCGGTCAACGTTGGAAAGGCCAATTTCCCTTACGTGCGGGACTTTGTAATGAACGTAGTTAACAGCCTTGATGTTGGAAGCGACAATATTCGTGTTGGTTTAGTGCAATTCAGTGACACTCCCGTAACGGAGTTCTCTCTAGACACTTACCAGACAAAGTCAGATTTGCTTGCTCACCTGAGGCAGCTGCAGCTCAAGGGGGGTTCGGGCCTGAACACCGGCTCTGCCCTAAGCTATGTCCGTGCCAACCACTTCAGCGAAGCTGGCGGCAGCCGGATCCGGGAACACGTGCCACAGCTGCTGGTGCTGCTCACAGCTGGGCAGGCTCAGGACCCCTACCTGCAGGCCGCCAACGCCCTGGCACGCGCCGGTGTCCTCACTTTCTGTGTGGGCGCTGGCCAGGCCAGTAAGGCCGAGCTTGAGCACATTGCTTTTAACCCGAGCCTGGTGTACCTCATGGATGATTTCAGCTCCCTGCCAGCTTTGCCTCAGCAGCTGATTCAGCCCCTAACCACATATGTTAGTGGCGGTGTGGAGGAAGTTCCACTCGCCCAGCCAGGTAAAGCAACCCCGCTGCATGGGCTCCCTTCCCCCCAAGACATCCCCAGTGGGCAAGTGGCCCATCTGAGCCCAGGAGTGTGGTGAACCGTAGAAAGACCACTGGCCCAGTTTGGTTGAAGTATTTTAATGGGGGTTTCAGACACTGTGCCAGCAAGTATAGAGTCCCTGTCTAAAGGGTGTTTATTAGTGAAAGGAAGTCTAGAAAATCCAGCTTATATTCCTCTCATCTTATCCCACCCTTTATTCAGAAGTTTTTTTTGTTTTGCCCAAAGCCTGTGAAGATTCTGGAGTGCAAATCCAGATGGAAGTGAGAGAGCAGGAGAGACCGATTCCCCTTCATACCTGAGTATGCACGGGGATCATTTAACATTGCAAAATTTGTATATGATAATTTTTATGTTTCAAATCCACTGTATGTAGAAAGTGATTTGTTATGAACCCAGCAAAGGCTGTGTCTCTATGGGATGGTGAAATGGTTTCCAAAGGAAGTCTGGCTGCTGCTGCTGATGGCGAATTAATAGGGATGCCTCAGACATTCAGCTCTCTGCATCACACAGATGGGGCAACAAGACTGATCCAACTGAAGGCAGATCAAGATAGTTCCCCAAACTGGGCTGAAAGCAGCACCACATTACATGGTGTGGCCCACGGGGCGCTGCCACCCGTGTCCTCCATGCTCTGATTGCAGCAGGTTGGAAAGTGCTGACAGAGAGCCGGACCCACACTCAGAGCCATGGTGGGCACTATTTTGGGTCCTAACAAGCTCAAGCTTAATGAAAAGATAATCCAGTTAGAGCAGATGTGGTATATCCTTAGGTAGTTACCCCATTGCAGCCTTTGTGACAAGACACAAGTAAATTTTTCAGCAGAAGGACAATAAGGACCACATTTTCAATAATTTATAACAATTCAAAAACACTGTTCTCCTGGGGTAGTTGCACATATGCAAGAGCAGAATCCTCCAGGGCCTTTCATGGTCTCGTTTTGTTGAACAAGCCTGATGCTGGACTGGGAAGATCTTTCTGGTTGTTCCAGTGCTTTGAAAATATGCATAGCTTTGAAACGGGATGTTTTAATGATAGCCAGGGTGGCTTTCCTCTTCCCTGGGTGGTACAGTGGCCCTCAGATGAATTCATGCACTCCCGTTACCAAAGGCTGGTGGCGCTGGGCTGGTGGTGTCAGCGTGGCACCTGCTGTGTTCTTGTCCCTCATTGTGTCCTAACCTCCTTTCCTTGCAGAAAGCAAGCGAGACATTCTGTTCCTCTTTGATGGCTCGGCCAATCTCGTGGGCCAGTTCCCTGCTGTCCGAGACTTTCTCTACAAGGTTATTGACGAGCTTGATGTGAAACCGGACGGGACCCGGATAGCGGTAGCTCAGTACAGTGATGATGTCAGGGTGGAGTCCCATTTTAACGAACACCAGAATAAGCCTGAAATCCTAAATCTGGTGAAGAGAATGAAGATCAAGACGGGCAAGGCCCTCAACTTGGGCTACGCCCTGGACTACGCCCAGAGACACATCTTTGTGAAGTCTGCCGGGAGCCGGATCGAGGAGGGGGTGCTTCAGTTCCTGGTGCTGTTGGTTGCGGGACGGTCGTCAGACCGGGTGGACAGGCCAGCCCTCAGCCTGAAACAGAGCGGGGTGGTGCCTTTCGTGCTACAGGCCAAGAACGCAGACCCTGCCGAGCTAGAGCTGGTGGTGCTGTCCCCTGCCTTCATCCTGGCTGCAGAGTCACTTCCCAAGATCGGAGACCTGCAACCACAGATCGTGAATCTCTTAAAATCAGTGCACAATGGGGCACCAACCCCAGGTATGACATAGCAGGCTGGTTGCTCTGCAGCCTGGGTTTCCAATACGTGGTTGATGGCAGGCAGCTGGCTCCAGTCCCTCAGACAGAAGCCCTCCTTGGGTCTCCAGGGAAGAAGGAAAATTAATAGTTCGTTCCTGCAGGAACAGTGGAATATGACTTCCTTTCCCCACTTTGCCTGCAACACAGAAGGATCAGGGTGATTATTTTTAAGGATATCTTATTATTTCATAATAAGATAGTACAGGCATTTAGACCTATTAATAGTTAAAAACCATTTCAAGAAACACAACTTTGATTCTATACTAAAAGCTGTATAACATAGTAACATTGCAGCTAGAGCCGTCTTCCTCTGGTATCGCCTCAATGTCTTATCTTAAGTGGGTGTCTCTGTGTTATGATTGTTATGATTCATTCCCTACATTCACTGAGAATATAAGGCATGATGAGAGGCAGAGAAATTCCCACCAGAAACATATTAAAATTTGCAACTGCCCATCTACATTACCACGACTGTGTTTAACCATTTTCCATTTGTTGATAAAAATGCAGTGAAAAGAGCGATTGATTTCATATAGAATCCTTTTGATCAAAAACTGAGAATCTGGAGCTTCATGCTGACTTTTGGGACCATACGCTGTTGGGTCTGAATTGTAACCCAGACATCTGGGTTAGTCTTTCTCCCATCGATCCGCGTGGCTGGCGGTGAATCACTGGAAACCTCCTGTCTGTATGACGCCGTAGTGGCTATGCAGGCGTGGCCCTCCCATTTCTCACTCCCCCATAAACAACTTTTTTTGAGTATACTTTTTAAAGTTCATAGTACTGCTCAAGCATTGAACTGCTCTAAAATAAAAGGGCAATCTATATAGACTCGTATGTTTCTTTCCAATCGCTGGTATAACAAATTGCCATACATTCAGTGGCTTAAAACAAATGAATTCATTATCTTGCAGTTTTAGAGTTCAGACAGAGGAAACCAGAGGCAGCGGGCTAAAATCAAAGTGTCAACAAGATCGAGGACCTTCTGGAGTTCTAGCAGAGTGTCCATTCCTGGCCTTTCCAGCATCCAGAGGTGCCTGGGGTGCTTGGTTTACGGCCCCTCCCCACCTGCCAAGCCAGCAGTGTGGTAGCTTCTCGCTCCTCTGACTTGTGACCCATCCTTGTCTCCCTCTTACAAAGACACATGACTGGTTATATTGGGTCCACATGGATAACCCAGCATAATCCCCCCAACGCCCAAATCCGTTATCACATCAACAAAGTCCGGTTCACAAGTTAGGGGGTTCTGAATCGGCTATCTCTGTGGGGATATCAAGTCATTGATTTCATGTATTGTTTAGCCCACCACAGTCAGCAGGAAGTTGTCCCTCTTACGTCCCGTGGGAGTCATCGTGTCTGTCTTCCTCCCAGCTTCAGGTGAAAAGGACGTGGTGTTTCTGATTGACGGCTCCGAGGGTGTCAGGAGCGGCTTCCCTCTGCTGAAAGAGTTTGTCCAGAGAGTGGTGGAGAGCCTGGATGTGGGCCCGGACCGGGTCCGGGTGGCCGTAGTGCAGTACAGTGACCGGACCAGACCCGAGTTCTACCTGAACTCATTCATGGACCAGCAGAGTGTGGTCGATGCCGTACGCAGCCTGACCCTGCTGGGAGGGCCGACGCCCAACACCGGGGCCGCCCTGGACTTCGTCCTGAGGAATATCCTGATCAGCTCGGCTGGAAGCAGGATGGCAGAAGGTGTCCCCCAGCTGCTGATAGTCCTCACAGCCGACAGGTCTGGGGATGATGTGTGGGGCCCCTCGGTGGTCCTGAAGAGGGGAGGGGCAGTGCCCATCGGCATCGGCGTGGGGAACGCCGACATCGCAGAGCTGCAGACCATCTCCTTTATCCCAGACTTCGCTGTGGCCATTCCCACCTTCCGGCAGCTGGGGACTGTCCAGCAGGTCGTCACTGAGAGAGTGGCCCAGCTCAGCCGTGAAGAGCTGAGCAAGCTCCAGCCAGTTTTCTCCTCGCCGACAAGCCCAGGTAAGGAGGGGGTGGTTTGGGTCATTGTTCCTGAAATATCTGGGGCTGGGTGTTCAGACTGCGGGCTCTGACGTGTCCTCAGTTTTGTTTCCTCTGCTATGTGGAGCGAAAACAAGAGCTGCATGAAGAGCTGGAATCCACGTGCCCTGGTCTTGGCGGCCAGAAATGCCAGAGGCTCTTGGAGATACTAAGATTCATGTTTTTGGCCAAATTAAATCTTGAAGAGGGAAACATGCTTGACTTATAGTGCAGACCCCCCAACTCTGCATAAAGCCTTCTGTGTAGACACTTGAGGGGGAGCCTGCCTGGCAGCGCCGGTTCCCTGTCCGTCCTGGGCTGCTCTGGTAGGTCTAGCCGCAGCCTCCTGTGATCCGAGAGGGAGTCTGACCGCAGGTGCCCTGCGAAGTCGGGGCACCGTCTCTGAAATATTGGTATTTCCAGAGCCAAAGTATGAAGACTGCTTTGGACCTGCTCAGTGCTGAGAAGTGTCTGGACTGGCAGGAAGGCTGCCTGGTGCTTAGACCAGGGCTTCTTCACTTTCCTCCTTCCTGTTTGCTTTGCTGTGCCTGGTGACAGTACACCGGGCAGCGGTGGGAGCCCCGGCCGCTGGAAGGAGGACGGCTGAGGGGCATCCATGCCCTCCAAGATGGCCGCTGAGGACCCGCCCTCCTGCGCAGGTGGCGGGGCGCCTGGTGCCCAAGAGGCAGCTGTGTCCTTACCTCCCATGGCTTACATTCCACAGAGTACGAGCCACGGCCTCATGGCATGGAGAGGCGAGAAAGGAAGGGCAGGGGAGAAAGGGGGGTTGTGGAAGCAAGTGAGGGGAGGGTCAGACGCAGGCCACACTGCCCTTGGGGACGGCAGGAAGAGGGGTGCACAGAGCCCTGAGAGTGGCATGCCTGCCGGCCCCCACGGAGTGCTATGAAGTCCACGGCCGAGTCCATCTGGGAGATGGTGGGGTAGACAGAGTGAGAGAGGGTTTTCTTTCCCTAGCTGATGTGCTTTGTCATTCCCGTTTCACATTTGGGAAGTGTGACATTTCTCAAACTGATCTGACTGCAGTCTGGGAAATGTAACACTTCTCAAACTGATTTGACTGCCAGCTTTCGTTTCTTGGGCACATTTTGGGTTCCAGTGTTCACAAGAGTGCCCTTTAGAGACACCCCCATCATGTATGTGCAGCTTCTTTACTTTAAATGCAAGCGTCTATTTCTACGGAAACACGATCCCGCCGCAGCGCTCTCCCCTCTCCCAAATGACTCTTTCCTACCTCCCCCTCGCCCCATGCTGCTGCTCCTGGGCCCCGCCCCGCCCAGCTTCCCCTGAGGGGTGCTCTTGAGCCCCATGTGGTGAGGCGCAGGTCCATCTGGCGGCGTTCTGGGAGCTCCACACACTCTCCCCCAGCCTCGCTCCTCGGGCACCTGCCCCTCTGCCTAAGCCAGGCCCTGCCTGCAGTCTGCACCCCTGAGCCATCAGTTCCCCACCACGGGTGGGCAGGATGAGCCCCCCATGACACGAACGCACTGCTTTTCCTCCTCTCTTCAAAACTCTGACACTCTGCTTCCCGCCCCCAGCAATGCCACAGTCCCCTTTTAAAAGAGTTTCCCAGGTACACGTCCTCTCTGAGCTGTCTCGGTCCGCCATTCGCCCTCACTGCCCCGTGGAAAGTGCCCTTGTCAAGGGCACTCCGCCTGGTAACCCTCCTCTTCTCCCTGACTTGTAATCACTGAAACGCCACGACTCGCTCCCGGGACTGGTATTTTAACTACAATACTTAAAAAAGCAGAATTGGGATATTTGCCCATCAGCTGGTGATTCCTTGACAGACTGGGAGGTGGTCTGTTAACAGTCAGAGTTTGGTGCCCGGGAAGGCGAAGCCCACCGTAACATTTGATTGCAGGTGTTGGCGGCAAGAAGGACGTGGTCTTCCTCATCGATGGGTCCCAAAGCGCTGGCCCTGAGTTCCAGCACGTCCGCACCCTCATCGAGAGGCTGGTCGACTACCTGGACGTGGGTTTCGACACGACCCGGGTGGCCGTCATCCAGTTCAGCGAGGACCCCAGGGTGGAGTTCCTGCTGAATGCCCACACCAGCAAGGACGAAGTGCAGAACGCAGTGAGGAGGCTGCGGCCCAAGGGCGGGAGGCAGATCAACCTTGGGGGTGCCCTGGAGTATGTGTCAAGGAACATCTTCAAGAGGCCCCTGGGGAGCCGGATCGAAGAGGGTGTCCCTCAGTTCCTGGTCCTCGTTTTGTCTGGGAAGTCGGACGATGAGGTGGATGAGTCGGCAGCTGAGCTCAAGCAGTTTGGTGTGGCGCCATTCACTGTGGCAAGGCACGCAGACCAGGAGGAGCTGGCCAAGATCTCCCTGAGCCCTGAGTACGTGTTCTCCGTGAGCACCTTCCGGGAGCTGCCCAGCCTGGAGCAGAAGCTCCTGACCCCCATCAGGACCCTGACTGCAGAGCAGATACAGCAGATCCTGGCCAGCACCCGCTATCCTCCTCCGGGTAAGACTGGGTGTGGCGTAATTGTTCTTTGAGTATTTTTGCTGTAATAGGCTCAAAGATCCAGAGTGCTTACACCTGGGATTGGACCAGTTGGGTCTATGCATGTTGTGGGGGGCAGGGCTGCCCATGACAGGGAACCATGGGGCGCTTCTGTAGGGGCGTTAGAAAGCACTTGTGCTAGGGTCTGAGTGTGCGCTGGGTGATTTTGCGGGCGTCTTAAGGAAGTGGGAGTTTCCCTTGGATTGGATGTTGCCGAGCTGTGGAAGTAATTCTATGATTGTGTATCCTACTTAATTTTACGGCTAAATCTGTAATTGGTAAAGAAGCGGCTGTTGCTCCAGTTGGCCAAGGTATCGGGATGTTTGGTTATTTTTGTCTTCGTTCTGTCAGTGTTTACGCACGATTCTGCTGTTGAAGTTCTGTGATGTCTTTTAGGTTCTGCAGGAGAGCCCAGCTCCTGGCTGTGTGTGCTGGGCTAGCTTTCCTCTTTCTCAGTGTAAAACTATTCGATTCCATGACTTGCTCTGCTTTTGCTGGGCTCTGTTTCCAGTATAAGTAACCCAGTGATTTTTAGGCAAAAGACAGTTGGAATTTGTTGAGTGACAGCATATGAGTATTTTAATAAAATGGCATCGAAAAAGTACTTAAAATTCTAAGGGGAAAACATGGCTTATCTTTTCCAGAGATTCTGAATTAATTTAATATGTAAAAAAATGGATTCATATAAATAAAATAGGGGAAATAATAGTGAAAATGAAAACTTTGTAAAATACTAGAGATATGCAAGCAAAAAGAATACTATGAATTAAACACCTAGGGAGATGCTATGGCACATGAGAGGGAGCTGGGATTCTCTGGGCTGTCCGTGGACAAAGAGAGGACATTTGACCTCAGTTGTTTCTCACTTTCTGTCCAACAAAGATGTTGGTCCAGGTGCTTTGATCCCTGTAGCAGTAACAGCTTATGAGTCTATAGTTATGGTAATCCTGGATTAGTTTCTAAATGCTGCTTATGTTTTTAAAATTAGTTGTAACCCAGATGCAAAGCCAAAATTAAAATAGAGTAAACTCAGAAAATGAAAACTTTGGAGAACATAAAATATTTCAAGAAGCAGAAATGGTTTTGGTAAAAAAAGACCCCATTTTTAATGGTTAATTTACAAAGGCCCAAGAGTTAAACACATATGTGTTGGCCTATAATTGTAATGTTAATTTATATATAATTGCAGTATATAATTACTATGTAATTGCATAAATGTATAATTAGTATGTATCATTGTGATATGATGCCCAGTTCAGAAACAAAAGCAGAAATAAAGCTGGGTGAGCACCAGCCCTGTCCTGTTTTCCTCTCTCTTCTCCTCTCTGCAGCTGTTGAGAGCGATGCTGCAGACATTGTTTTCCTCATGGACAGCTCTGATGGCGTGAAGCCCGATGGCGTCGCGCACATCCGAGACTTTGTGAGCAGGATTGTTCGAAGACTCAACATTGGCCCCAGCAAAGTAAGGATCGGGGTCGTGCAGTTCAGCAATGACGTCTTCCCAGAGTTCTACCTGAAGACCTACAAGTCCCAGGCCCCCGTGCTAGATGCCATACGCCGCCTGAGGTTCAAAGGGGGGTCTCCGCTGAACACGGGCAAAGCGCTGGAATTTGTGGCAAGAAATCTCTTTGTCAAGTCTGCTGGGAGCCGAATAGAAGACGGGGTGCCCCAGCACCTGGTTCTATTTCTGGGTGGGAAATCCCAGGATGACATTTCCAGGTTTTCACAGGTGATGGGCTCCTCAGGGATCGTGAGTTTAGGGGTAGGAGACCGGAACACTGACAGAACAGAGCTGCAGACCATCACCAGCGACCCCCGGCTGGTCTTCACGGTGCGAGAGTTCAGAGACCTGCCCAACATAGAAGACAGGGTCATGAACTCCTTCGGGCCCTCCGGGGCCACACCTGCCCCTCCAGGAGCGGCGACACCTTCTCCCTCGAGACCAGGTATGAGTGGTGGGGCTGTGACTACAGAGCGTGACGATGATTTTTTTAATTGAAAAAAATGTTATTAGCATTCATTTAAATGATTTTCTTCTCTCAAGGTTGTTGTTGAGGATAATATAGAAATTAAATACTGGAAAAATAATTCAGTAGAAATTGTAGATGGAAACACATCCCAGAAAGCCTAAGATCATCGATTCTTTCATGAGGCTAGTTACAACCCCATTGAAAGGTACACCGAGGGTTAACTTCAGACTCACTGGCTTTGGTAATAGGAGAGCACCTTTGAAGTTGGCAGATCCACACGTTTTTCTGTTCCAGTCTTGATTTCTTGATTAGGAAATTATCTCCAAATGCCATTGATTTTTAGCAGGACCCCACAAAGCTCCCAGCGTGCTGGTAGGTGACCCTCTATGGCTGCATGGGGTCACATCTCATTTTCCAGTATGTTTCTATCAGCCCTTTTTTGTCCTGCTTCTACTGCGTCTCCTCCCACCCCTGCCAGACATCATCGTTTATTTTTGGTCAGAAGGAAAGTGTTCAGTGGCGTTTCCTAAAACACCAGAGACCATGGACCATTGAATCCATGGAAAAGATACCACTTTGCAGAGTTCTCAGGACTATTTTTTTTTAGATGATTTATCATTTATCTTCTTGTTTTTAGCATAATGTTTGGAGGGCTGTGAATTTGGGGACTGTGAAGACATGGAATAGAGCAGAGACATTCACTTTGAAAAAGTTACAGGAATGGCTTATTTCAATTATTGTACCTTCTGTGTATTTTTTCTGGACATGGAAACCAAATTTCTCCTCATTTTCATTTTAATCATTTTTAGAGAAAAAGAAAGCAGACATTGTGTTTCTGCTGGACGGTTCCATCAATTTCAGGAGGGACAATTTCCAGGAAGTGCTCCGTTTTGTGTCAGAAATTGTGGACACGCTTTACGAGGCGGGCGACTCCATCCAAGTGGGGCTGGTCCAGTACAACTCTGACCCCACGGACGAATTCTTCCTGAAGGACTTTTCCACCAAGCAGCAGATTATTGACGCCATCAACAAAGTGGTCTACAAAGGGGGAAGACACGCGAACACTAAAGTGGGCCTCCAGCACCTGCGGCTGAACCACTTTGTGCCAGAGGCAGGCAGCCGCCTGGACCAGCGGGTCCCTCAGATCGCATTTGTGATCACGGGAGGAAAATCGGCGGAGGACGCTCAGGAGGCCAGCCTGGCACTCACCCAGAGGGGCATCAAAGTGTTCGCGGTGGGCGTGAAGAACATCGACTCCGAGGAGGTCGGGAAGATAGCGTCCAACAGCGCCACAGCGTTCCGCGTGGGGAACGTGCAGGAGCTGTCTGAGCTGAGCGAGCAGGTTCTGGAAACTCTACATGATGCCATGCATGAGACCCTATGTCCAGGCGTGTCTGATGTTTCCAAAGGTGATCCCCTTCATGTGCCAATTGTTGTGTGTCCTATTCGTGTTATTTCATTATCTAGATCCCCAGTGCTTGCCTACAGATTCTGCAACAAGCACTTACTTACATCCCTGGGGGTTGGGTCCCAGAGGTCCCCCAGCCATTGTTATAAGTTTTCTCACAGGGTAAGAGGGGGAGTCCCTTTTTTTGTTCTTAGAAGATTTAGTCCCTCCCCCCCATTCTTCAGATTTATTGATCCCTGTTATTGTTTAGAGTTTATTAGATCTATTATTTGAGATCAGAGCATTTGAGTTCTCAAGTGCATTTCATCTGAAGCACAGCTCTGGTGGCAGCTTCCTGACTGTATGCCACGGTGAAGTCGATGAACGTCCCCAGTAGCAAACGTGTTCGAATGGGCTGCAGTTTTGGTCCCCCACCGCCAGCATCCATTTTCCCTGTGTGAGAGGCAGATCTAGTCGCTTCTCAAAGCCCATCCGTGGGACACCTTCTTTGCTCTTGAGCATGGTGCCCCGGCCCACCTCCCCGGGGCTGGGCCCGGGTGTTGAATTCATCTTGGCAGCCCCGACTTAGAGCTCATCCCCTACTTTTCCCTGTTTCAGCCTGTAATCTGGATGTGATTCTGGGATTTGATGGTTCAAGAGATCAGAATGTATTTGTGAGCCAGAAGGGCCTCGAGTCCAAGATGGATGCCATCTTGAATAGAATCAGCCAGGTGCAAAGGCTCAGCTGCAGCGGTACCCAGATGCCCTCCGTGCGGGTGTCGGTCGTGGCCAACACGCCCACGGGCCCGGTGGAGGCCTTTGACTTTGCTGAGTACCAGCCGGAGCTGTTTGAGAAGTTCCAGAGCATGCGTGGCCAGCACCCCTATGTCCTCACTGCAGACACGCTCAAGGTCTATCAGAACAAGTTCCGACAGTCCTCGCCCGACAGTGTGAAGGTGAGCAGGGTGCCCTTGTTTCAGCTTCCTGTGTAGTTCCTGGACTCTTCCTGGCCAGGAGGATGCCTTGATCTCCAGACACCCCCTCCTGCAGATGGTTCTATAAATGCTCTTCACGTTTGACAGGGTTGGTAGTCCCTGCACGTATAAGTGCCTGTACATTTACTATCAGCTGATCATATTAATCTGCCATGTAGCACCTGCCTTGTTTCACTCATTGCATTTAAGCTCAAAAAAAAAAAAATCTGGAAATCAGTAAGTGAGCTTGATTTAGTTGAATTCATGATTAACCCATGTTTAATTATAGTCCTACCCACTAAATACATTATATTCTCTCTAAATATTTCTGTGTGTGTGTGTATACATACATACATAAATATTGTGTCAATATATGCACACACACACACATACGACAAAGTCTGTGAGGGCTGCCACGGCGAATCACCACACACTCAGCGGTTAAATGGTGGAAATGTGTGTCTCCTCACAGCTCTGGAGGCTGGAAGCCAAGGTCAGAGCGCTAGTGGGGCTGCTGCTTCTGAGGCCCGTCAGCTTGGCTTGGCGAGGGTGCCCTCTCCGCAGGTCGCCACAGGTCTTCGCTCTGTGTGTGGCTGTGTCCTCATCTCCTCTTCTTAGAAGGACACCAGTCATACTGGGTGGGGGCCCACCCTAATGACCTCATTTAACTGAATCACCTCATTAAAAGCCCTCCTACAAATTACAGTCACATTCTGAGGTACTGAGGGTTAAGAAAGGCATCAACATAGGAATTCTGGAGGGATGCAGTTCAGCCTGTAAAACATGCACATGCACACATGTGATTTCTGGAAACTACATCGCATAAATAGGAGAATGAAATAAGCTGTTTTTATTTCCACTGTTGCATGAGTTTTTAATAAGCCGAGCATGGCAATCTGCCCATTTTATTTTATACCATTTAAAAAATACATTTATTGCATAATATCAAAGAACTATGAACATGGCCCTCGGATGCCTCAACTGTACGATGAGGGGTGAGAGCTGGCTCATCTCTAACAAGAGTCTGTGATGTTTCTTTTGAATTTCTGCTGTGGTTTGACTTTTTATTTTCAGGTGGTCATTCATTTTACTGACGGGGCAGATGGAAATCTGGCTGATTTACAAAGGGCCTCTGAGGAACTCCGACAAGAAGGTAGGTTCTGGGCTTTCTAGACATGAGAAGCCAACATGGGTGAGGCGGGCACCCTGCTTTGCCAGAGAGAAACGACTCTGCTGATGGCGTCCTCTCGGGGAGGAGCAACTTCAAGGTGCCTCCTGGCCCTCGGTCGCCCACCTGCAGCTATGGGATCGGGCTGATGGGGTTCCTTCTCTGCAGGCGGACAGCTTCATCGCCACGCCCTGGGACGGGCCCCACAGGTTCTCAGACTCATTCAGGTGGCAGAGCATCTGGACAGCATGAAGCTTTTGCAAAAGATTATGACATATTGATTCACTTAGCTTCATCTATAAAGAAGGAATTAATTTTCCAGCAAAAAATATTGCTGCATTTTCAGTTGGCAGTTATCACAACTCAAAAATACTTCAAAGTGAAGTAAAAATACGCTTGAATATGAAATAAATAATGAAAGCATACTTTACGAATTTAAGGTGACTGAATAATCAATAATGTCTACTATCAGGTGTAATATCTGATTGTTCATTTGCTCTGGAATTCAGTAGCACTGACTATCAAAAAGTGGATGCCAGCACCAGAGGTTTAAGAATTTATGACAGCATAATTTATCATAAGAACTTTCTATTTATTTGCTTGCTTTTCTAGCAATGGAGATGAGACTGCTATTATCTGACTTTGGAGGTGCGGTGTTTCAGTTCTTCCCAGAGCAAACCCACATTCTCTAGGACCAGAACTTGAGAATTTATGTACAAATACGCTTCATGGTGTTACTTCCTATATTTGCATTGACCAGTTTAGTTTTTGATATATCTGAAACAATTACTCAGGAGTCCGAAGTTCTAGTGTTTCAACTCCTCAGAGCAGCTGAGGTTTGATTAACCATGTGTCAACTAAAGGCCGAATTTTACGCTGAAGTTTTCTTTTTAAAAAAAAGGAGGAAAAAGTTGTGGTGCTCCCGTATCCTGGGTGGGCCCTAGGATATGCGTTTCTCCCCATAGGTGTCCATGCTCTGATCTTGGTGGGCCTTGAACGTGTAGCCAACTTGGAGCGGCTGATGCAGTTGGAGTTTGGGCGGGGATTCTTGTACAACAGGCCCCTGAGTCTTAACCTGCTGGACCTGGATTACGAACTAGCAGAGCAGCTCGTGAGTTTTTTATGTCTTTACACACAAACTGGTTTAATAGCACAGTTTTGGCATCTCAGGATAACGAAGTCAGTTATTGTCTGGTGAGGGGGAGGGGGGCCTTTGGGTGGGTAATTTAATTCACCTGGATCTGCCTTTTGCAAAAATATGTGTGAGCCCTGGAAACGCAGGAATCCAGGAGCCAGAGAGCCAGTGTCTGGGCACGCTGATGTGGTTGCCTGAGAATTTCCTCTTCTCCCTTTAATGGGTGTCTTTTCACTTATAAGATCATGAGAAGGCAAAGACAGAGCTGGACCCCAAACAGGAAACAGTGTTCACAACATCAAAACTCAGGTGCTGAAAACAGGAACTTGCAACAAAGAAAGTGTTTCTGGGCGCAGAGGTGCCCCTGCTACCTTCCCTCGTAGTTTCCTTTGGAGCAGGCGAAGGTGTCCCTGTGCAGCTTCCAAATTCCCCTGTGCTTTTGGGAGATACAGGGCTGAGGGGCCGCTCCGAGATGCCCGCTCTGAGAGGCCGGCAGCACCAGGGGAGCACAGGGGGAACCGACTGCCTTTTCCTCCCCTCCCACTTTCTTCCCAGGGCTGGAACTGGGACTATATGTGAATTGGGTGGAAGGAGGTGGCACTGATGAATCGGGGACATGGGGGAAAGTGAGAACTCTAGGAAGCTCACTGCGAGGAACGAGATTTGACCTCCAAGAGCTGAGGGTGCGTGACGGGTGTTAGGGGCGCTGGTGCCCTGGAGTCGAGGTGCTCGTGGAATGGGGGCAGGGCCTGCTGGTGTCTGCCCACCCCAGCGTTCCTGAGGCCTCCTCCAGGCCGGCCTAGTCCGAGACGCTGCCCGTGGTTCTAGGAAGGCACGTGGATATCCACGTGGAAGCCCCTTCCCTCCGGGCCACATGCAGTTTGTTTGGGTTTGTGCCTTGAAGCTTAAACATTTGTTAAATTAAGCTTGACAATTGAAACCTATCCATGTTGGAAACTTCTAGAAATCAGGCCCAGCCGGGGTACTGTCATGGGATCTGTCTCACTTTGGTCGCCTGCCCCTCTCCACTTGTGCCCTCCCTCCGGCCGTCTGGCCTGCTGAGCCAGGCCTCGAGTGACACCGTCCAGGGCGACTTCCCTGCCCACTGTGAAATCCACGTGCCTCGGATTTTGCCTTTTATGGCATATTTAGGCTTTTGTTCTAGGCACTTATTGAAATTTGAAACTTTTCTCCATTTCGGCAGGACAACATTGCTGAGAAAGCTTGCTGTGGGATCCCCTGCAAATGCTCTGGACAGAGGGGAGACCGCGGGCTGCTGGGCAGCATCGGGCCAAAGGTATGGCAGCTCTGCCCTTCCAGCACCCGGGGTTAGGTTCCAGAAGCTGCTCGGTGCTTCTCTGGGCAGTTCCTGCACTATGGCGGCCTGGAGATGGGGAGGGGAAAGAAGGGACGTGCTGTAGGACGGGACAGCTGCGGCGCAGGCTCGTGTGTGAATGTCTGCTGACCTCCCTTCCCGCGGGTGAGGGGATCTGTTCTTTAACCCACTGGCTCTTCCGCTTATAAACGATGTTAATGTCAGCGGGCGTCACTGACTGCAGCCCGTGTGGATGCTGGGCAGCATTCGGAGCATTTGCCTCCGAGTTACGGGAACCTGACAGGTTTACTTGGCACGTCAAGAGCCTGACACTAAGTGTTAGCTGTGCTCTGCCAGTGACGGGGGATTGGGAGGATAATTAAATAGAGGACAAAGCCCAGCACAGGGTGTAACCAGGGCACTGCTTTCCTCTGTCGCAGGGCATCCCTGGAGAAGACGGCTACCGAGGTTATCCTGGGGACGAGGGTGGACCTGTGAGTAAAAGTTGCTTTGCTCTTTACGTTTATTCCTGCCTTGATCCTCACATGTTGGACTGAATAGTGAAGTTCACGACTGGCTCCATCTCCAGTGACTTTCCCACTGGGAAAGAGCCCACGTCTCACTCCCTTACCAGCCTGACTCAGGACTCTACCCTGAGAAAAGTAGCCCTGCGGTCTGAGCGTGGAGCACAGCAGGTGTGGTGTGGAGTGTGGGGCTTTCAGTGGTCCTATTGCAGAGTTATAAAGGGCTCCTGAGGCAGAGGGCCACTGGTCAGCGTCCCTGTGTCCTGCGAATACAGAGGTCCGAGCAGAGGTGGGAGTGAGCAGAGAGGAGTGCGGGAGGCCTACTCAGGCTGTACTAGGGATTCCCCTTTGAGGGAAGTCTCCCCCTGGGGGGCTGATTTGGGTCATAGGTGGCCTACAGTTCTAGCTGTGGGTGAGCAGAGCCTGCAGCAGGGCCTTCTGGAAGGAGAACTGGGACAGACACAGCCTGAGAGGCTTTGAGACCCGAGAACAAGGCCCAGCCCTGGGATGCGGGTAAAGGGCCCCACGGGCATAGGGGAGGTTACAGGGTCCCAGCCAGCAGTGCTGGGTGTCAGGCTGGGCCTGAGGCCTGCTGGGGAGCTGGGGACCAGGGACCTTGCAGAAGAGCACACAGGTTGGGGGTTCTCCATGGGGGCCACACGCTCACCCAGGCCCAGAACCTGCAAGGCCCCGAGGCTTGCTCATCCTTGGCCACTGGGGTGTGCTCTCTGCGCTGCAGACCCTCTCAGACCCCACGCCACCCTGCAGGTTCAAGGCCAGGACCGGTGCTGAGCACGGGCCTGGGGTGGGTGAGGGTGCTGGAGGCTCCACCTGGCCCAGTCAGCATTCCTACCAGTGAGATCTGCTCCCCGCGTGGGCTTCCACAGCGGCGCGCGCTCCCGGCCGCACGACGGCCGACCTTAAGGTCGCCTTTGTTTCTCCTCACAGGGTGAAAGGGGTCCGCCTGGTGTGAATGGCACTCAAGGTTTCCAGGGCTGCCCCGGGCAGAGAGGAGTCAAGGTACAGTGTGGACGGGGACCGTGGCCCCTGGCCTCGGTGGGGAGAGGGGGTTCAGTTCCTGCAGCTGCCTCCAGGGGAGGAAGGCCACCTGTGGGGCGTCTCTGCTCTCAGTGTCCAGTAGCCCATGGCCCGGTGGGTTCAGGGGCCCTGGGAAGGGAGCCTGGTGGTGGAGAAATAGTTTTCTATGGAAGCATGAGGCAGCCAGGACATGCTCAGGGGGACAGGCAGAATGTGGGTCAGGGTGGAGGAAAGGCCTGTGGCAGCTGCTTCAGCCCCGGGATCCCAGGAGGAGCCGGGGAAGCGGGGGGGATGTGAAGACAGCGTGCACTGGAAGGTTCTCTGTGAGAAGTACTTGGATTCAAGGACTCATAGTATGTCCTCTCCATTTGCTGAGGTTGGAAAGCAGGTGCTGGATGGGAGGGCCACCTTATCACAGTTACAAAGGGGCCTCGGAGCCCCTGTCCTAGCTTTCAGGGTCCACCCCTCCCACCCAGGGAGCCGAGAGTCCCCAAATCCTCACATCTGGGCCAGTTAGCTCTGTGTTCCTGCTCATGATGGAGAGATAAGGGCAAGCACATGACTCTCTGATAACGGATTTCAGACTCTGGCCCTCAGGTGGGGCGGAGGCCACCCTGAGCCCCTCCTAGCCTGTCTGTGCAGCTAACGTTCCCCCTCCTTTCCCTTTCAGGGCTCTCGAGGATTCCCAGGAGAGAAGGTACGAAGCTTCTAGTTTCTACTGGGAGGATTCCCAGCATTTCTCATCTTTCCTTTGCCAGAATGGCTTTCTATACTTTCTAAACGTGTAACTGCTTCCCTCACAGGGCGAACTGGGAGAAATCGGGCTGGATGGTCTTGACGGTGAAGATGTAAGTGATTTCACACTCCAAGTCCAAACTGCTTTTGGTCCTGGAGATTCCAGTGACCAACACCTCAGTCTGTGGTACACACTGGACCAGGAATGACATTTCTTCATTGTCTTTGGCAGGGAGATAAAGGATTGCCTGGTACTTCTGGAGAGAAAGGGAATCCTGGGAGAAGGGTACGTCTATTCCCATAGTGCTGCTGTTATGGAAAAACTATAAGTGTTTCATTGAAGGAATATTTCTTTTAGTCGTGTATGTTAAGGCTGCTTCCTCCAGGCAGCCATCCCTGACCTCCTCTGGGGGTGCATCCCTGGTGCCGCCTATGTCCTGCATCAGCGGTGACACCTGTTACATTGCGTTTTCTTGTTTAGAGAGAACGTCCCATAGGGCTGAGACTGGCGTGTTTTGTTTCAATAAATCCCCAGTGCCTGGAACAGAGTCAACTCCCAATAAATATTTGTGGATTACCTGAACAGATCAGAAATATTTGGAAGTAAATTTAAATTCATGGCAAATGGGCAAATGGGAACCACTGTTATAGTTTAGATTTCTTAATTGAAAAACATGACTTTAAGGGCCAGATGACAACTTGAAAGCTATCTTGTTCTTAGTTTCTTTGTGTGGGTTTTATTTAGGGTGACAAAGGTCTTAAAGGAGACAGAGGAGAAAGAGGAGACATTGGAATCAGAGGTGACCCGGTAAGGAAGTGCCTTATTGACGATTTGAGGCCTGAGTCTGGGAGAGAGGGTTCTGGGAGAAGTGGGTGGACAAAAAATATCACTTTAGAAGCTGCTTTAAAACGTGTTGATAAGATATGTGGTTTGTGATCCTTTGCCTACAATTCTGGGTCTGCTGGGGATATGGAGCTCTCTGGCTGCAAAGGTGAGGGTTTCCAGAGCCTGTCAATTGAAGCTGTGACAAGTATTCCTAAAATGTAGTGTCAGGATGCTAATCCACCTGGCTTGGGTGGTCAGAAAAATGCCAGCGATGATATGAATGCCAGGCTCTGAGGGACCAGTACTTCCGGCACACCCCACCTGGGTGACATGTGTCCCACTCTGACAGACCCTGACCATTGGGTGTCAGCCACCCTCAGCCCCCATCAGGGGACCACCGCTTTTCCTCCCCAGGGGCTTGGTGCCCCAGGCTTGCTCTTACCTCCTCTGGGCCGGGAGGGGAGGAGGCTGCCAGCAGTAGCCCTTTGCTTGCAGATTAGAGCCATAAATGAGAAAAGCTGCAAATGCTTCCTTTTCCTAAAGCAAATGTGAAGTGTCCTTTTCTTGCACACATGGCCCATTCCCCCGCCCCGTGCTGTTTACAGGGTGACTCAGGACGGGACAGCCAGCAGCGAGGACCCAAAGGAGAAACGGGAGACCTCGGCCCCATGGTACGGTGCTCGGCATGCCCAGACTCCCCCTGCGCTGAGGGCCAAAGACAGGAAACTGCCGCAGGCTGGTCCTCAGCCCAAGGCCGTGCAGGTGGCCTTTAAGGCCATGAAGCCAACCAGGTCGGGAGCAGAGAGCCCCCAGCCCCTGACCATGTGTGCCTGAGAAGCATGGCTCCAGCGGGGATGGAGGCCCCTGCCAGGAGGGCTTCTCCGCAGAATCTGGGCCCCTAGATGCTTATGGGAGGTGATCGTGGAGGCAGGAACGTGCCTGGTCCACGCATCCCATAGACCGTCCGCCCACCTGGCCTGCTCCTCTCCCCATAGTGCCTGCACAATGTTCAGAGTTAGACATTCTTCCTTGCAGATGAGAGTCTTAGGACAATTTTTTCCTCACCTTAGGGTCTCCCCGGGAGCGACGGACTACCTGGAAGTTCTGGAGAGCCCGGGAAGAACGTGAGTGCCCCTCAGGGATGTGCGGGCTCTGCGGTGATGTTTAGCATGTGCCACTTAGACCACCAAACACTACCTGGGGCAGAGTTACTCAGCATGTTTATTTAGGGAATTTAAGGAGATTTCTAAAACTACTGCCCCCCAAATCTTAATGCTTCTAGAGAATTTTCCTTCTTATAATTTTTCCTGTGCCCCATCTCTCCTCCCTCCCTCAGTTCTGCTTCTTTCCCCCCAAAATACTGAATTGGCCCCCTTAAAAATTATGTCTTTGTGGCTTTAGAATATCTGACCAGGTTTTTATCCTATTACATATTTAAGAAATCCAAACAAAAACACGAATTTGGGGTGGGTGAGGGGCAGGAAGGTGATGGCGTTTCCAGCTTGGTGTTGGCTTCAGAATTGTTTGTTTTTCTGTGTTGCTATAAGTCAAGCAATGAGACTAGGTTGAGTTTTCTCATGAACTGCATTTCGCAATCACTTTTTAAAGACATTTCAGAAATGTCTGGTGCAGAATAGCGTGTTGCATGCCTAGCCTCTGAGTCTTTTGAAGGGTTGCTGAAGTCAAAGCTCTACAGACCTTTAGGAAGCTTCCAGAGCCCAGGGGTTCAGAGAGCTTGGGCCTCCAGGCTGGAAGAGGATGGTCCCTGCGTGGGGAGGAGTGGTGTGTGAGTTTGGAAAGCCTCAGGGGCGGGGTGGATGCTGGCAGCTGCCCAGCTCATTGCCTCTGAAACGAGCACAGAGCAACAGCAGGCAGCTGGGGCCCCTGCAGCCAAGAGCGGCCCTGTCAGCCACTTCCCCAGAGGCAACGACATATTTAGGGATTAGCAGCTGGAAGCTCAGAGGTGTATGCTGAGCTGAGGGCTTTTAAAAGAAATGACCCCTAATCTGCTGATGTGCTATGGGCATAATTTTGCTCTTAAAATTCAGAAGAAAACTTTGCATTACAAATTCTGTCTTCAAAGTTCTATGATTTCAGAATAATGCTGTCGAACTCTATAATGAAAAAAAATGAGGACATACTCAGTGGTTGTCCTGCTATACCACTCTGAGTAAAGCTAAAACTTGTTTTCATGAAATGACTTAAAATACAGTCGTGCATACGATTTGTTTTCCGTCTATGCACGAGGTGGAAACCTGGGTGTGGGGTTGGTGTGCCGAGGGCTCTCGGAGACTCAGTGCCTCCTGAGCAGCCTGGTGGCCCAGTCTTCCCCTCCCCTCAGAATCATGCCATGCAGCCTCAGGCTGAGATGAAGTGTATCCTTCCCGTGGGGCTAGCTCACACCTCATGCCACCGCTTCAGGGCCTCCACCGGCTGCCTGTGGTCCGGGCATGAGGCACTGAGCCCCAGTGGCCTCTGGTCAGACTCTAGGATGTCACTGTTGGGAGAGGCCAGCCAGAGTGGTTCTCTGTGGTGGAGTGGCCTGCCTCCCACCCACTTGTCTGCGTGGAAGGAGGCCAATGTCTCCCATCACAGAGGCTGTCACTACAGAATAATAGCAAAGCCCCCTCCCTGGAAGGTGCACGGTGGGTGGGGAGTGTGGCTCATGGGCTCAAGCCCCTACCAGAGCTCATACTCACAGTTCCAGAGCAGTGACCCCTAACTTTGCAACTTTGCAGAGATATACCCAGAACCTTCCGTATTCCCAAACCTTTCCCCTAAAGGGGAAGCCTCACAAAGTTAATGGACTACTTACACAGTGGGCCCATATTTATTTGAACTCCGCGTCACCGTAGAGCACAGAGGTGGCTGCCAAGTCATGAGCGCACGTTAAGCACACCTGAGCTTTTAGGGTCACGTGTGTGAACTTTGGATTTTTCACCTAACTGAGTATGTATTACATTTGGCCAAGAGATTTTGGAGAGTTTGGGGCTCCTTTCTATTATAATTATAGTATTTTATTACTTCTCCCTACAGTTAGGAAAATGGTAGAAAAATAGGCAGATTGACATTTCCATTTTACATTCCTTATTTGAAATTGGCTGGGATAGAAGAGCCAGAAGGAGTCATTATTTTGCTTGGCAGGTCCAAGTACTTCTCAAAACTTTCATTTGAGTGATTAATAGGGGCAGCATGGGAGCAAAACCGTACGGAGATGAGGGCAGAAAGGAGGCTGTCTCCCGATGTGGGTTTGCTCAGGGCTGCCTAGGCCGTGCCTGGTGCACAGCAGGGCTGCATAAATGTGCAGGTCAGGTAGCAGAAGCCCCAGGCTCCGTCCCTGGCTCCCCTCATCGTCTGTCTTCCTTTGCAGGGTGGCTTTGGCCGAAGGGGGCCAGCAGGAGCTAAGGTAAGCCTCTGAGTCAGCACCTCTTTCTGTCCCTCTGTCACTCACACGGGCCCTCAGAGACTGACCTCAAGGGGCACACATGGAGTCCAGCCCATGAGCTGGAACATGCTGTCTCTTTGGCTGTCAAGGCTTGTCGCTCCAACTGCAGCCAGCTACCATCTTTCCCACTGTCTGCTCCAATTCAGCCTGTTCCAGAAGACTTGTGAAAATGGGTCCAGTGGGGCTGTGGGGAGTGGGGAAGTGAAGGGGAAGCCAGGGAGGCAGCGTCCTGGGCCTCCCTTACCCACAGTGTGCCCACCTACCTGGTGTCAGCAAGTCTCAGCATCTTGGTGTCTTGGTGTCTGTCTGCTCACCTGTGGCAGGCAGGTTTGGGCCTAAAGAATCCTTTTCTCACGAAGCCATCTCCAGCAGAAGGTGAGGCGAAAGACAGATGCTTACAAAGATGCAGAGTGACAGCTGCTCCAAGCGTTCAGGGTCTCATGCTGGGATCATCCTGCCCATCGCTTCCAGCCCTGGGAGAGATGTGATGCTTCCCATCCCCCACTGGGCCACCACTGCAGGACAGAGAGCTGAGGTCTGTCCGTATAACCTCCTGACCATGCCCCCCTCTCTGTTTCCAAGGGCAACAGGGGCGGCCCAGGCCAGCAGGGCTCTGCGGGAGAGTCAGGGGCCAGAGGCGCACAGGTCAGTACCCCGTGCCGTGACACCCTGTGATTGCTCCCCGGATGCTCTAGTATGTTTTTCTTTTAATTGAGGAGACAAGTCAGTTTTACAAAGCTGAGCACAAAATTCACCATTTTGAAGTGAACAATTCAGTGGCACTTGGTACGTTCATGGTGTGTATCCACACTTCTATCTATTTCCAAAACACTGCCCATCCCCCAAGAGGCCCTGCGTCCGTTGAGCAGTCACTCCCCTCGTCCCCACCTCTCATCCCCGGGCTGCTGGCAGCCACCAGGCTCCTGACTCCCTGGGTTTGTCTCTTCTGACGTCTCACCTAAATGGAGCCGTTTCATAGGTGAACTTCGTGTCTGGCTTCTTTCAGTCAGCGCCGTGTTTCAGAGGTTCATCCGTGTCACGCGTGTCAATGCGTGGTCACTTCTCGTGGCCGAGTACTCTTCTATGGTGTGGCTGGGCCATGGCTGGCTTATGCACGCATGGACCAGCCATTCGTGCTGTCCCCACCTTTGGGTGACCGTGAAGAGTGTCGTCCAAGCTTTTGTTTGAATACACACTTCCTGTGCTTTTTTAAACCACCTTCCTCCTCTGTGTTCTGGGTCAGGGCTGAAGTACAAGTACTGGGCCGGCCAGCAGAAGGGAGGGTGTGGGCTCTGGAGGGCGAACGTCACCCAGGGCTCCTGGCGGGCATGACAGTGACGCGGTGATTGCATTCGCCTTTCACTTCGTCAGGGTCCAGCTGGTCCCACTGGCCCTCCAGGCCTCATCGGTGAACAAGGCATTCCCGGGCCCCAGGTAAGTCGCCCTGACCCGCTCCTGTCCTTACGTGCACAGGGCCCGAGCAGGCTGGGATTTCGGCCTTGGGGTCACCGTAGCCTGCCCTCTTGCCCAGCCCTCTGCTGTGGCTGCATAGACCCTGGGTCAACCGCAGTCCTCACAGCCACTGGCCAGGTAGCTTGACAGAGTGCAAGACCCTTTTCTTGGTGCCTGCGGGGCTTCCAGGTCCCCATGTGGCTCCTTCTGAACGTAGGCCAGCCAGGAGGTGAGCTGAGGGAGGATGGAGCTCCCTGCGGAAGTCCTAGCATGCGACTGCACCAGGTCCAGCCAATCGCCCGATTTTTCAGATTATGCCCAACCGCGTCATGTTTGGCCTCTAGAGATTACCCCGTGGCCCGGGATTCTGTGTAAGGAGTTCCCCACCTCAGGCTCAACAGATATTCCTTCAGTGTGCTGACTCACATGTCAACATCTATGTCAGCTCCTGGGGATGAAATACAGAAGGGCGCTGTTGGAGCTGAGCTGGGGCCAGGGGCCTGGCGCCCTGCACCCTGACACCCCTAGTGTCTGGTGTCATAGCCAGGGGCCATCCTATCATCTGTTACAAAGATAATAATGAAAAAGCTGGCAACGGGCTGGCCTGTTGCTACACAAATGCACAAAAATGTTTTATAGTGAGAGCAGGCCCTTTCTCCTTCCCGTTCAAAATTTGATAAATACCTAATTTTAAAGCTTTTGTGTTTTATTAGCAACATTTATTCGAGCTCTGATAAGTCAAAAACTAAAGATGGAGCAGGAGGAGGTGAAGCTTTTCAAATCGCTAGCGATGCCGAGCGGCTGCTTCCCTCTGTCGTTTGCCGTGCCTGTTGGCACGCGGTGGGACCCCACAGGCTGCCTGCGCGTGCCGGGCATTGGGCTGGTATTCTGAGAGCGATGGTCCTTCACGCATCTAGTCCTTTACCCAGTGAGCAAGTGCACACACGTTTCCACACCTGTGTTACCATCCTGGAGGTGCGGGAAGGGAGGAAACAAAGCCTCATAAATCTGGGTGCTTGTCCTCCGGTCAGGGCCGGTGATAGCCGTGACTGGCATGGGTGGTCACACTGACATTTCAGATCTGCACAAGACACCTCCACGCATGCATGCGCTTGGGTCTGCGTGGCGCTGAGTCCTGTGGCTCTGACTGCACACGGTGAGAGGGCAGGATCCAGACCCTTGGCTTGGAGGGTGCGTACTTTACCAACACACTCCTTTCCTTGTGCCCAGGGAAGCGGAGGGACGGCAGGTGCTCCTGGAGAACGTGGCAGATTCGGTCCCTTGGGAAGAAAGGTTTGTCTTGGCAAAGTGCGAGCCTGTGTGCTGGGTCAGGCCCGGCCAGTCTCTCCATGGGTCCCTGCCCACCTTGTTTGTCAGCTTGCCCGCCTGCCCAGTTTGTACACACCCTGTCCTCACCACTGGCCTTCCCACCCCAGGCCCCCTGGGTGAGAGTGGGCTTGGCCAGTGGGATGCCTGTTCCCACCTCAAGGGAACGCACGGGCTGTGCCCAGAACCCGCCAGCAGCTGCTGGAGTATCTGGTTGGGGACGCTCAGTACAGCCTCGGTAGTCCACCCAGCGCAGGTTCTTTACATGTTGGCAGCGCTCATTAGCTTGGCTAATCCAAGTGCCTCCCTTCTCGATTATTGTGGATAACAGCAGCTTCTTCTATGAGGACTGTCTGGGAAACTGCTTTCTATAGACTTGGAGAAAAACCACAATTTATCACAGCTGATGCAAAAAGGAAGCATCGTCTCAGGAAAAGAAATGTGTTGGTGTGACTCCAAGGCTGCCTCTGTGCCTCTGGGGACGCTTTGGGGTCCCTGCAGGATTCAGCGCCTGCCAACTGTCACGGCTCTTCCTGACCATTTCTTGTTTCCCTCTGTCTTTTCCCCGTCGGCGTGCTCCCATACCACGCTCATGAAAAGAGCAAACACAAACCTTCCTCGATTCTTTTCCATGCAAGAACGTTGCAATTTCAAAAATCATTTTTATCAAAATCTAAGAGGTGAAGTTAGCAGCTTGCAGCAGCCTGGTGGCCTCACCTAGAATGGGGGCAGGGCTTGGAACCACATTTTAAGTTGGTCTCAGCCCCACACATGTCTCAGCCTGTTTCTCGTGTGTAGGGTGAGCCTGGAGAACCAGGACCAAAGGGCGGAATTGGGAGCCGGGGCCCCCGTGGCGAGACGGTAAGACCAGAAGGCACTGTTGCTGACTCTGTGCTGGGAGGTCCGGGAGGCAGGGAGGCGAAGCCTCGCTTTGGGCTGTCCTTTGTCGTTGCAAATTGGGGTGGTGGCAAAGAGAGATAACTTTAGTAGTTTCTTGCATCATTGGGGGTTTGACTGAAAATAGTAAGACCTGTTGCTTATAAACAGCAAATAAATCTCAAAATAAGTTTTATTTCATTGGGGGGAAATAGGTAAAGACATTTTTTTCCCTGCATTTTCCCTGACAAGGGAATGTGGTGTCTTACTGAGGCTTGAACCACCATTATTTTCAGTCCTGCAAATGCTTCGTGAGCTTGGTGAGGTGGAGCTTTCCTGCAAGGAAATAGATGTTTTTGGGTTAAAATGGAGTTGGATTTGACAAGCTCTCAGCCCAGATCAAAACAGGTCCCTTTGCATGAGACATCGTAGAAATAGAAATTATTACCTTGATAACTCATTTGAGAAAAATGTTATTTAAAAACAATCTAACTGCTCACTGGCAATAATTTTATAATATATATTTCTATACAGAATAAAGAAATCTACAGCACATTAGGAATTTTTCTAAAATGAGTCAGTCTACCTAAAAACTATGTAAATGGACCAGACTGATCTGATAAATAATCCCAAGGCTTTAAAGTATTTTTCTTGTATATGGAGCTTCTCTACAGCTTAAATGAAGTTAAAAAAAATTCCATTTCTGTTATTCTTAGTTTCAGAAGCAGAGGGGAAGAAAATCAGATTTTAAAATCTGTTCAAACTGTTGAAGGAAATCCCTTCTTGATTCTGTTTCCATAAATTTGGGGGCAATAGCTCTGTAGCTGTTGTCTGTTTAAAACTGTAAATTAACTAAGTAGTACGTTCCATTATATTTTAGAGATACTAATGTATATTTCACATAAAATCCTCCTGATTTTTTTGTAATGATTAATGGCATCCAGTTGTGAAAGACACTGTGAGAGAGCAATGGGGATCTGAGCCGACAGGGAGGGGGTGTCTGGGCAGCGGGCAGGTGGTGGCATGTCCAGGAAAGGAGGGAAGGGGACTGGAGGGGAGGGCAGGAGGCCTGGGCACCGAAGACTGGGGAGGCTTTGAGAGACTGAGTCCCGTGTTCTTGCTCTGAAGTTCAATCAAAGACTCACAGATGCCCAGAGCAGAGGTGGCCTTCGAGGTCTCTGCAACGCTAAGATTCCCAGATCCCACAAGTCTCTCTGTCCTCCGTCTCCGAGTATCTCTACCAGTAGCGATCAGTAGCGCCCTATATTGGTAGCCTTCCAGCACCAGGGTGCCGTGAAGCCCGCCTGCCTCCAGACTTGGGCTTGTTTACACCCAGAGGAGGGGTAGGAGCAGCAGCCCATCCTTGACCCGTACCCTGGCCTGGGAGCACTTCAGGGCCTCGGGGACCCTCTGCCCAGGGCTCTGGTGGCCGCGGTGGTGTGGCCCATGCTGTGACCTGTGGTAACACTGTCTCCACTCTTAGGGAGACGACGGGCGGGATGGATTTGGCAGCGAAGGACGCAAAGGCAAGAAAGTATGTAATTGCTTCTGAAATTTCACCGTGACATAGTGAATTTTTTCTCTTGGTGATCTATGGATCTCTTTTTTTCTGCTCAAGAATAATTTAGAGGAATTTAAATCAGGACCAAATGTTGAGTTATCTGTTTATCTTTTTATAGGGAGAACGAGGATTCCCTGGACACCCAGGTCCAAAGGTAAGTGTTCCCCGAGTGGTAAAATGTTACCATTGTTTTAGGATGATTCCCATAGGCCCACGGGTTGAAAATCAGAATATCTGGGTTCTAGTCGTGCGTCAGGGGCTCACTGACCGAGTGGCCCCAGGAAAGGCCCCACCCTTTCTGAGATACTCCCTCACCTGCCCGAGGGCGATGGCACTAGGCACTGGCCATGGCACTGGTGAGGAATAAATGAAACGACACGCAGGAAAACCCTTCGCACCCCTAAAGACGCTATCGTGGATAGGACTTGGTGACTGTGGGTTCAGTGAGCCGAGGTTGAGTCTGTGAAAGACAGGGCACGAGTGGCCCCTGGAAGCAGGTCGGAGTTCAGCTGCTGGCTGCCCGGGGGAGTGGGGCCAGAGGCCGCAGGGACCCTCGCTGCACCTTCCATTCCTGAGCTAACGTGCCTCTTCCTGGCTCTCTCCCCAGGGCACCTCTGGCGAGCCGGGGACCAGTGGAGCTCTAGGACCCCAAGGCATCAGAGGCCGGAGGGTGAGCCTGCCTGCACCCTGGCTGCGGGGTGGGGGGCGGGGAGAGGGCATGTGGATGGGTGACTGGACGCCGACACCTCTGTTACTCCTTTGAAAATTACCCTCACTGGCACCTGGTCTGTGATAGTGTGGGGGGGACGAAAGGCGTCCTAAGCCTGAGGCCGGCGCCCTCAGGACCCCTGCGGGTGTGTCTGCGCTGCCCTCGTCCAGCCATGCGCCACTGGTGGGGAGGCTCCCCCTCTCATACATCAGGGGGCACTGGGGGGACCCGAGTCTAGAATGAGAGGCTCTGGACACCGGCACTCGTGGTCGGTCGTGCCCACTGGACGGTGAGGCAGCGGATGTCACGGGGTGTGTGAAGTGCTTACAAGGGTTCCAGGTCGGAGGTGAGCCAGGCTGAGACCCCCGCCTCCCCACTGTGGGGAGACTCCCCCCTCCTCAAGCTACTTCTTACTCTGGATTATGCCCTTCAGTGGGTGCCAATGAATTCTCTTAAGATAGCCCGGGGTGTGGGATTGACGATCGTGGTCTAGATACCAGTAAAAGTTCCTGGCAGTTATTTGTAGCTTAAAATATAGTTAAAATCATTGTAATTATCCTGTTAATTTTCTCAGGGAAGACAGTCAAACTAGATCATTTACTACTTAAGGTAGGGTTTTAAAGCACTGAACTGATTATCTACACCAAGCAGTGATCTGACTGTGAGTAACCAGCTTCTGTGCACCCGTGGGTCATCTCAGTGATGGTTCTTGAGCAAGTATGTGGCCTACCTTAACCTGCCAGAGCACATGGCTGTGGGGAGGCACACATCAGGTTTATTAAGGCCACTTGTCCCTACACCTGAATTTTGGAGACACTTAAGATTCCTCAGGGTGATTTCTCGTGGTGACTGGGGACATTGGGCTGGATCACCTCTGCCTCCCCATCCAACTGCAGGAGCTGAGAAGTCCCTGTTTTCTTCCACAATTGAACAGTGTTTGTTCTGTGCCTTCTAGGGAAATTCAGGGCCTCCAGGGGCAGCTGGGCAGACGGGAGACCCTGGCCACCCAGGACCAGCTGTAAGTACTTACCCACTTCCCGTCGCACCGTCGGGGGACTGGGTGCCTTACATACGGTCCCGGAAAAGTTTCCATTACCTCCTTTCCTCACAAAGAAGGTGTCCTGCATTTTTGTTGTTACCGTTTTGTTTTTGAACCACTTTTCTTCTGACAAGTGTAACAGGAGCTTTAAAGAGAAGTTTCATGTAGAACTGCAGTCTAGGATGTACTGTAATTTGCCTTTTATAAGTCCCTGGTGTCAGCTTGTTTGATGTTTGTGTAGAGGACAAAAAAGGAGAACAAGTTTTAATACCTCCTGATGGCATCTTCTAGAAGTAGTGTGATTTATGTCAGACCTCAGTGTAGAGAATACTTCCTGTGGTCTGTGAAATCCCCAAGGAAGCTACTGTTTTGTGGTTTACAAGTTGCTTGACCTCCTGCCCCCTGGAGCCAGGAGGGGTCCTGTCACTGCCCCTCCAGAAAATCTCTTTGCCACTAATGTCTGTCTCCTTATTTGAATTTCTCCCTGTATTATCTCCCTACACTGAATTTGATGAGATTCAAAGAAGAAAGGAAAACATAACTTAGGAAATGGAAAATTGATCCTGGAAAGAGAGGTTAAGGATTAGCCTGGCTGAGCTGGGAGAAGCTTGAGGTGGGCGAATTTTTGCCTTCAGAGGGACGCATTTGATGGGAGAGAGTCAGGCCAGTTACCAGCCTTGTGGGAAGACCAGCCGACGGCCTGACCTCCAGTGTGGCCACATTGTGGGCTGAGAGGCTGAGGGCAGCCTGGCACTGTCCTGGGCACTCCCTGGGGGCAGAATCCACCTGGGCTGCCTTAGGCTCGGGGCTGACGAGGTGGCTGGGCAACTCCTCGTGGTGCCTTCTGCCAACAGGTGCTTTAAGCTAGCGGGTGAAAGGCATCTCTCTCTGGAGCGGTGGTGGTAGGACTCATGCTCCGCTGTGTGATTTGCTTTGATTTGTACCAAGCTTCCAGGTTTTCAGGGAGAGGAGCTCCTTGTCTCACAGGGGAAATACTTTTGTCCTCTCTCACTCTGGAGCATAAGGCCAACATCCTGGGTGGAGCTGAGAACAGCTGGGGCCAGCCCAGGCCCGCCTCTGCTGTTCCCAGCATGGCTCTGCGGCCCAGGGCTGTTCCTTCACGCGCACACCCGTGCGCTGCCGAGCACCTCGCCCTCCCTTCCTTGTTTTACAGGGTCTCAAAGGCAACAGAGGAGACTCCCTTGATGTAAGTTGCATGTGTGCATGAATCACTGCCCTGTGGGCCTTTGTCCCCTTTCCTCATATCTTCTCTCCTTTCCTTTTTTGAAGCAATGTGCCCTTGTGCAAAGCATCAAAGATAAATGTCGTAAGTACATGATTCTACGTTTACGGTTTTGCATTTGAAATTCTCACGTGGCAGATGTGTTGTTCACCCTGCTGTCTGTTTCCTTTGTAGCTTGCTGCTATGGTGAGTTGATTTCAGTAGTTTGGACTTCTTCTGGCCAAAGAAGACCCCTTTCCCAGTAAGTGAAGTCTGTCTTTGAACCTCCCCCCACCTCCGCCTCCACAGGGCCCCTGGAATGCCCCGTCTACCCGACAGAACTGGCCTTTGCCCTGGACACCTCTGAGGGGGTCACCCAAGAGACGTTCAGCCGGATGAGGGACGTGCTCCTGAAGGTCGTGGGCGACTTGACCATCGCGGAGAGTAACTGCCCGAGGGGGGCCCGCGTGGCCGTGGTCACCTACAACAATGAGGTGACCACGGAGATCCGGTTTGCCGACTCCAAGAGGAAGTCCATCCTCCTGGACAGGGTGAAGAACCTGCAGGTGGCACTGACGTCCAAGCAGCAGAGTCTGGAAACCGCCATGTCATTCGTGGCCAGAAACACGTTTAAGCGCGTGAGGAATGGATTCCTGATGAGGAAAGTGGCCATTTTCTTCAGCAACAAGCCCACCAGAGCTTCCCCACAGCTCCGGGAGGCGGTGCTGAAGCTCTCGGACGCTGGGATCACACCCTTGTTCCTCACCAGCCAGGAGGACCGGCAGCTCAGTAACGCTCTGCAGGTCTGTCCCCTACTCTTCGAGGCTCTCAGACGCCTCTCAGGTGCATCCATGACCTCCTTGATGGAGTTGGGCCCCACAGTTTCCAGAAGGTCCTAGAAGAGGCTGTGGTGACCTAGAACTTCTCTGCGAGGTTTCAGGACAGACTCGTGGCTCTAGCTGTAGAGTGACACCCAAATGCTCATGACTTAGTCCCACTGGGTGCCCCCCTGGTTGGACACCTGACCCTGGAGGCCTCCAGTCTCCTAATGGGGGTCCCCAAAACACCAGTGGCCCTGTCTGCACCCCTGCTCAAACCTCTGTGCAGCCATGCAGCCAGAGGTCAGCCCGTAAAGCGGCCGATTGTTCCCTTGTCATCTGCTTAAATAACTGTCATAATAATATATATAATCATGGTCTTCACCATTGATTAATTAATCAGTTAATATTTACGGAGCACCAGTTCTGGTGGCACTGTTTCAGACAGATGGATGGTGGGCGTTAAGGGAAGGAAGTGGATCAGGAAAAGGGGTGGGCTGGCCTCGGCCCTGGCCCCTGGCCACCCGCCTTCTGGACTCTGAAATCAGCATAGTCCTGTCACATACCCTCTTTGTGTCTGAGATGCCCCACCTGTGGCAGAGGGGCCTGGGGAGATGGCATCTAGCATCTTTTCCTTCCAAACTGGGTATTCTATGGTTTTACCACTGCCTGTGTCAGGATCCCCGTCTCTCAGGGTTTATTCTGCTGTGCTGCTGGCCGGGTTGAACACAGAGCCCAGGCTTGGGAATCCAGCTTGGGCCGCCAGCTCTCTGCTCTTGTAAGGGACTCACCTACATTATCTCCCCTCATGTGGGCGAGGGGACCCAGAAGCACATCCGTTCATTAACAGCATAGTTTCGGCAAGTTATTTTAATTAAATCTAATTATTTATTGATTGCATATGTAGTGATAGAGGATCAAGTGCTGCAATGGGTAGGACTCCCTGAATTTTCTAGAAGGGATCACATTACTTGCTTTGTTGTGAAATCCCTTTTAGACCTGGGAGAGTGGGAAAGGGATGGAGCTGACATTTGTTAGTTGTTCTTGTTATTGCTGCAAATAATGTTAATAGGCAAGTCCCCACTATTTGCTAGAGCTTATACGAGGCACTTTATATGCATTATTTGATTAAATCTTCCCAGGAACTCCATTAGGAGCTTACCATTATCCCTGTTTTGCTGCTGAGGACACTGAGCCCCAGAGAGGTCAAGTCATTTTCCTTCAGGCCCGGTGGAAAGTGCAGGAGAGAGGTCTGGTCGCCAGTTCATCCTATGGGAAGAAAACCCATTTTCCTAATAAACTCAGAGCCATCCCAGCCCCTTTCCAAAAAAATGGAGCTATGGCTCTATTGGGAGGTTTATTTTATCGCTGTGATTCTAATTTATTCCTCAGTTATATTTTCAAATAGTTACTTCTCTTGGACACTGTTGCTAAGCATTTCCTTCTGTTTAAACCAGATCAATAACACAGCAGTGGGCCACGTGCTTGTCCTGCCTGCTAGAGGGGACCTCACGGACTTCCTGAAGAACGTCCTGACGTGTCATGTCTGCCTGGGTAAGGTGCTTCTCCAGCGGGGAGGTCTGCCCAGCTGCAACTGCAGAACATGCTACCCATGGAGATGTTTGAGTGACTGGTCAGTGTCAGTATAGAGGGCTTGGGTTAAATGGAGACTCATAAAGCCCGTGATTATGTGTAAATACTACATATGTACTTAAACTGGAACTCCCAAAATGGAGCTCCTCTTTGAAAGGAAATGTTTATTGGTAACAAAGGAGAAGGTGGGCTCTGTTTCCTTTACCTTAGAGTCCAGATTTTAATCATCTGGCTTTGTGACATTCTAGAACACGTTTCTTCAGAGTGCAAAAGCAGTAAGATAGCTTTTCCTTTCTCTTCTTTTTTTTAAATGCCATAGTACACTAACCAGGATTTCAGCCTACTGACTTGTTTCATCTAGTAAGTGTTAGGTGATGAAAACTGATATCTGGCCACACTAATGTGAGCAAGATATAAATAAGCTTCTGTATTATGTGACACTTTTAATTGCGCCGGACTCCAGTAGACTGATGTACAACATCTTGCTGCAGGGGTCACAGAATAAGCAGGTTACCATGCTTCTTTCTAGACATCTGCAACATTGACCCATCCTGTGGATTTAGAGGCTGGAGGCCTTCCTTCAGGGACAGGAGAGCGGCCGGCAGCGATGTGGATATCGACATGGCTTTCCTCTTAGATAGCTCGGAGTCCACCACTCTGTTCCAGTTCAACATGATGAGGAAGTACATAGGGTACCTGGTCCGACAGCTGGACATAAGCCCAGACCCCAAGGCCTCCCAGCATTTTGCCAGAGTGGCAGTTGGGCAGCACTCGCCCTACGAGTCCCTGGGGAACTCCAGTGTGCCACCCGTGAAGGTGGAGTTCTCCCTGACCGACTATGGCTCCAAGGAGAAGCTGGTGGACCTCCTCGGCAGGAGAATGACACAGCTGCAGGGGACCAGGGACTTGGGCCGTGCCATTGAATACACCATCGAGAACATCTTTGAAAGCGCACCCAACCCACGGGACCTGAAAATCGTGGTCCTGATGCTGACGGGTGAGGTGCAGAGGCAGCAACTGGAGGAGGCCCGGAGAGCCATCCTGCAGGCCAAGTGCAGGGGCTATTTCTTCGTGATTCTGGCCATCGGCAGGAGGGTGAACATCAAGGAGGTGTACAGCTTCGCCAGCGAGCCAAACGACGTCTTCTTCAAACTAGTGGATAAGGCGACTGAGCTCAACGAGGAGCCTCTGATGCGCTTTGGGAGGCTGTTACCATCCTTTGTCAGCAGTAAGTACCGTGTCAGACAAGCGTGGGCCAAGACCGGAGCCTTGAACCAGCCCACACCCTTGGGCTGTCAGGGGCAGGGGCCCCAGGCATGGGAAAGCCAGTGTCGGTGTGTTACGTTGACTTGTTCACTAATTCAGCAAATACACATTAGTGCCTACCGGGTCCTGCACACACTGTAGGACCCAGAGTTGGGCACAAGCACACAGTATCCCATCCTTGTTCCCTCCTTCATTCAACCAAGCAGGACTGGGCACCTCCCAGTCACAGATGCTGTGTCCCTGAAAGTGTGTAATGGGTCAAGGGCACATTTGTTATGCCTGCCGAAGTGCTGGTGTGTCATATTGAACTATCTCTTGATGGGGCACCAGGGAAGCTTCTAGAAGGAGTTGTACTACTCTGAGCTTAGCCCCCAACCCCTCTCTTGGAAGCCTCCTAGTCTTTGTCGCTGTGGCTCTTCCTCCCTGGAAAGCTCTCCACCTTTGCTTTAGCAGAAAATCCACACTTATCTTCAAAACTTACCTCTAGCTGCCCCTGCTCACTGTGAATGCCCCACTCCCAGGGGTTGCTTGTCGTTCGTCTGGACTCTGTACTTGCCCCATCCATGACATGGCCTGTTGGTCATTCCTTTATGGGTCTGTGGTCCTTGAGGACATGTGTCACCGCCCCTGTCCTGCAGAGTCGGCACAGGAAAGCATCCAGCACATCGGGGAGCCGTTCACAGTATGAGTAACATGTAGATGCAGTGAGCTCCTCGTTCAAGGGAAAGTGAGGCCGTGAGGACAGTGTTCACGTGTGGGAAGGCCTGTCCCACCAAAGTTTTAGGGAAAAAATGTGAAGCACAGGTGAGCCGGGCAAGTCCCCCCAATGGCCACGGCCACCGCCTCCAGAAGATTGAAACAGAAGTTTGTTGAACACAGCATGGGGAGACTATTCCAAGTAATCTGATGTTCAAGAGCTTAGAATTTGTCAAGATCTGTACTCGTTTTCTTCTATTCCTTTCTTCCCTCTTACATTGAGTGAACACTATCTTTAACCTAATCACACAAATACTGCCAAATAGAAGATACTGGCTTAAGATGTTTTGTGGACCACGTATCATTATAATTAATCTTTAAAATCACTGGACTTAGCTTGTCTGGGAGAATTAATCAATTCAATAAGTATTAATGGATAACCTAGTAAGTGATCCATTTAACTCACTAGCAGATTAATTTTAATTTACATGCACTTAAAAATATTTTGTCTGTTTCTCTCTAGGTGAAAATGCTTTTTACCTGTCCCCAGATATCAAGAAACAGTGTGACTGGTTCCAGGGGGGCCAACTGGCAAAGAATCATGTGAAGTTTGGTCATAAACAAGTGTAAGTAATTGTAGTAAATAGCTCAAAAATTACAGTGCTAATTAAATGCACTTATCTTTCAACTAATGACTAACGTTATGGGTGAAGACATTGCAATCCAGAAAATGTACTTCTCAAAGATCACATGGGGCATTTTTTTCAAAGAACCTGTTGTACCTGTTAGCTTCTGCTGTGTAACAAATTAACGGAAACTTAGTGACTTGAAACAGCAACCATGTATTTAATTTGCAATTTTTTACTTGGGCTCGTCTGCGCGGGTCTTCCAGCCTCTCCTGGGCTCGCCTACATGTTTGTGGCCAGCTGCTCGCCAGCTGTGGACTGGCGGTCCAGGACGGTCTCCATTGGGTGGCTCATCCCTGCCCTCTGGGGGCTCCTATTCTCCAGTAGGCAAGGCTGGGCTTGTTCACAGGGTGAGTGGGCAGGGCTCCACGAGAGAAGGAGGAATGTGAAGGCTTCTTGAGGCCTAGGCCAGAGCTGGCACACTGTTACTCCTGCCACATCACATTGGCCAAAGCGTGCCCCAAGGCCAGCCTAGCTGAATTCAAGAGTGGGGTACTAGCCTCGAGAGGACCTGTCGTGTCGCACTGTGAAGGCCATGGGTGCCGAGATGGTTGGCCTTTGGGCCACATGTCCGGACAGTCTACCATATCTGGTATGAAATTATTTCATATAAAGGGATTGGATACATTAAGCAGAAAACTGGGTTCCAAGTCTTCTTAAAATGATCAGTGTCATAATAAGACAGGTGATGGTGGTAACCGGGAGGCAGCACGCATGTTCTACAAGGATGCCTAGTGGGGCGGGGGATGGGTGGGATGCTGTCCACCTGGCATGGGCTCAGCGGCCCTGTGCCCAGCTCTGTCTCAGGTGCCAACTCCAGAAGCAGAGAGGAGGGTCTTGTGGCAGAGGGCTGGGCGAGGGGCACCTGGTGACAGGAACTGAGTTCAGGCAATGTGGCAGCAAGAGAAAGCTGTGGTGTGTCGTGTTTTGGGGGAAGAGGAGATGTGAATTTTAATTATCCTTGGAGAGTGGCCATGTGGTCCTGCCCGCCCTCCAGGGCGGGGAAAGGAGCCACCCCCTTCCTACTGCCCCCTTCTCTCTTCCCCTCCATGAGCCCCTCCCCTATTGCCTCGGCCCTCAGGGACAGCGCTTCGCCTCTCAGCCTGGTAAGTGGAGAACCATCAGCAAGGCAGCTGTGTCCCTTTTCCGGTGCCCTGTTGCTCGTCCTGCTGGGTCAGCGTCCACAGGGGTGCCTTTCCTAGCCATGAATTATCTTCGTAGTTTCTCTCGAACATTCCCCAAAGTTGGCCCAACCTCATCTTTAGGAAAACAGAATGAATAAAATGAGCTAGTAAAATTTGAAGTTTTATGATTCTAACTCGAAAATGTACTGTATATGACATATAGAATGGTGCTTACAAAATAATGAATATTCATCTCAGGACAAGAAATGAACACATGCACACAGATTAATACAAACAAAAATGTTCAATAAGCCCTGGGTGTGAAACTACCTGCTGACTTACTGATTTTCCAGCTCAACATGGTGTTTTGTTTGAGTGGATACTTTCTCAAAATGAGAGTAGCTATTAACTGATTTTACTTAATTTTTGGTGTATATTTTTCAGTTGGTCAATGTTTATAATTAGAACATTGTTCAATATTATTTAATTAACAATAACAATTATTGCAGTATCTATTATTTTGTATTTACTTTCTGCTTCTAGTTTATAAATTGAAAATAATAATGTCAGATACATTTATAGTACATGTGTCCTTTTTAATGATTGTATTCCCTTATGTGCTGTACAGTATCTTTTCTGTGGAACAGATTCTAAAAATAAGGGATTTAATATATGCAATAGTGAATGTAATATATAAAACTACTGCGTGCACTTTGATAGCAGCAAATTTTGCATAGCTCATGGGGTTATGTCTTTGTCTGTTTTAGATAGCAGGCAAAAATACGTGTGGGTTGAAACAATATGTGATTTGTTTTGACAGAAATGTTCCGAATAATGTTACTTCAAGTCCTACATCCAAACCAGTGACCACGACAAAGCCAGTGGCCACCACGGAACCAGTGACGAGCATAACAAAGCCAGTGACAGTGGTAAACCTGCCAGTTGTGAAGCCGGCCGCAGTAAAGCCAGCCGCGGTGAAGCCAGCTGTGGTGAAGCCACCCACAGTGAAGCCAGCCATGGTGAAGCCAGCTGCTGTGAAGCCAGCCGTGGCAAGACCTGTAGCTGTGAAGCCCGAGGCCACAAAGACAGCCACTGTCAGACCTGCAGTGGCAGCAAAGCCAGTGGCTGTAAGACCCCCCACCACTGCCAAACCCTCGGCTGCCAAACCCGAGGCCCCCAAGCCACAGGCAGCCAAAGTGGTTGCCACCAAACCAGCCGCTGCCAAGCCCGTGGGTAAGAAAGGGGTCCAGATGTGCCATCTCCTTTTACTGCATCCAGCGCATGTCCCTCGAAGCCTGTTCACAGAGTAGTTAAACGCAGGCACTGGCCCGGGATCTGTACCTATGGAGGATGTACTTTAAAAGGTGCAGGTCAGAGCATGGAATTACAGAGCATTGCTTTTTATCCATATTAGAAAGTAATCTTTGTCTTACCCCCTGGGAGGCTGATGCGTTCCAGACAAAGAGCAGCTCTCCCACCCTGAGGGTCTCCCAGGCTCGGCCCCCTCCCCTCTCCTGCTCCCTACCCGAGCCCTGAATGCTGCACCTCGACTTGGGTGAGGGTGGGACCTGTTGGTTCTCTCTGGGCTTGTTCTGTATTGAGCACTGGACCATGTATTTTCAAAGTTTCTCCTTAATAAGAGAGATTTTCAATGGAAAGAAAAGTAGTAATGTGCCTTGCTGATGAATTAGGAGATTTTTAATTGCATTTCAGACCATTAATTGGTTACAAGACCAGTACTTCTCAGGAGCTTGAATAGGGGGGTAGTTTCCTGTCTCACCTAACTTTCAGATCGACAGTCACTGATGCATGTCCTTCACGTCTCATCTCTGGCCTGTGTATTATAGGCATTAGGGTTTTATATTTTCATCTCCACACTCCCACACCCTGCTTTGATCTCCTTTCCAGGTAGGGCATCTCGGGAGGTCCACGTGTCTGAGATCACAGAAAACAGCGCCAGACTCCAGTGGGAGAAGCCTGAGCCCCCCAATCCTTACTTCTACAGCCTTGCCGTCACCTTGGCCCATGACCAGTCCTTGGTTCTGAAGCAGAACCTCACGGTCACGGACCGCGTCATTGGGGGCCTGCTCGCGGGGCAGGCGTACCACGTCCTGGTGGTCTGCTTCCTGAAGTCTCAGGTCAGAGCCACCTACCAAGGAAGTTTCAGTACAAGTAAGTACCTGGTTGGTTTAAGAAAAGCTGGTGCCTGATTTTTACATGGGATCTGAAGCAGGAGCTCCCGGACCACAGCCATAAGCAGTGTCCACAGAGACTTCTCTGGTCTCTGTGTTTCCAGGGGTCACCCTTACATACGACGTTAAACCAGGAAGGCAGGCGTGCCTCAGTCCCTCAGGGCCCCTAAGACCTTCTGTTTCTGAGTTCCCTGCTAGTTGCATACATTTTTCTTTTATAGAGAAAACTCCGCCTCTGCCACCACAACCAGAGAAGGGAGCTTCTAGTTCGACCAGCCATCTGGTGGTGAGCACAGACCTGCTGGCTGGTAGCGAAACAGGTGAGTCGTGGAAGCATTAGGCCCATGAGCAGCACCCAGAGACAATCTGCCACACATTTTAAAGCCTTTGAAGTCTTATTTGTCTGCTGGGATTCCAGTTTCTCAGGCCAGGCATGGCTTCCGTGGGGAATCAGCTCTGTGTGGCCGCCTGGTCTCTCCTGCATATTCCAAGTTGTAAATGGAGACGAGCCTGGCCTGTCACCAGTCTTTTAGAGAAAACTGGATGGGGTTGCTCTGGGGGCTGTAGCCAGGAACGCATGTGTGTTAGTCATTTCCTCTGCGCCTCAGACTGGGGTCTGTGCATTTGCAAAGAGTAGGGTTTCATCCACTCAGTGATTTAATCTAATAAGAAACTGCTTAGAAGAACACAAGACAGCCCAGATTGGAACCCCTGCAACACATGGGTTTGGAGGGGATCCATGTCACTTCCAAACGTTCTGGTCCTGATTCTGCTCCCGCACCCTGGAGCCTGGTCTAGCTCACCACTCTCTGTGCCTGAGTGTGAGTGTGTGCACAGCTTATGTCAAATCTGTGACTATTAGACATGCTTCAGGGACTGACAGCAGTTATTCCAGGGTCTGGGCAGTGGGTCGGAGAGATCTGTAGCCCCTCACTCAGCAGAATGACGGGGAAAGGAGCCACCCCCTTCCTACTGCCCCCTTCTCTCTTCCCCTCCATGAGCCCCTCCCCTATTGCCTCGGCCCTCAGGGACAGCGCTTCGCCTCTCAGCCTGGTAAGTGGAGAACCATCAGCAAGGCAGCTGTGTCCCTTTTCCGGTGCCCTGTTGCTCGTCCTGCTGGGTCAGCGTCCACAGGGGTGCCTTTCCTAGCCATGAATTATCTTCGTAGTTTCTCTCGAACATTCCCCAAAGTTGGCCCAACCTCATCTTTAGGAAAACAGAATGAATAAAATGAGCTAGTAAAATTTGAAGTTTTATGATTCTAACTCGAAAATGTACTGTATATGACATATAGAATGGTGCTTACAAAATAATGAATATTCATCTCAGGACAAGAAATGAACACATGCACACAGATTAATACAAACAAAAATGTTCAATAAGCCCTGGGTGTGAAACTACCTGCTGACTTACTGATTTTCCAGCTCAACATGGTGTTTTGTTTGAGTGGATACTTTCTCAAAATGAGAGTAGCTATTAACTGATTTTACTTAATTTTTGGTGTATATTTTTCAGTTGGTCAATGTTTATAATTAGAACATTGTTCAATATTATTTAATTAACAATAACAATTATTGCAGTATCTATTATTTTGTATTTACTTTCTGCTTCTAGTTTATAAATTGAAAATAATAATGTCAGATACATTTATAGTACATGTGTCCTTTTTAATGATTGTATTCCCTTATGTGCTGTACAGTATCTTTTCTGTGGAACAGATTCTAAAAATAAGGGATTTAATATATGCAATAGTGAATGTAATATATAAAACTACTGCGTGCACTTTGATAGCAGCAAATTTTGCATAGCTCATGGGGTTATGTCTTTGTCTGTTTTAGATAGCAGGCAAAAATACGTGTGGGTTGAAACAATATGTGATTTGTTTTGACAGAAATGTTCCGAATAATGTTACTTCAAGTCCTACATCCAAACCAGTGACCACGACAAAGCCAGTGGCCACCACGGAACCAGTGACGAGCATAACAAAGCCAGTGACAGTGGTAAACCTGCCAGTTGTGAAGCCGGCCGCAGTAAAGCCAGCCGCGGTGAAGCCAGCTGTGGTGAAGCCACCCACAGTGAAGCCAGCCATGGTGAAGCCAGCTGCTGTGAAGCCAGCCGTGGCAAGACCTGTAGCTGTGAAGCCCGAGGCCACAAAGACAGCCACTGTCAGACCTGCAGTGGCAGCAAAGCCAGTGGCTGTAAGACCCCCCACCACTGCCAAACCCTCGGCTGCCAAACCCGAGGCCCCCAAGCCACAGGCAGCCAAAGTGGTTGCCACCAAACCAGCCGCTGCCAAGCCCGTGGGTAAGAAAGGGGTCCAGATGTGCCATCTCCTTTTACTGCATCCAGCGCATGTCCCTCGAAGCCTGTTCACAGAGTAGTTAAACGCAGGCACTGGCCCGGGATCTGTACCTATGGAGGATGTACTTTAAAAGGTGCAGGTCAGAGCATGGAATTACAGAGCATTGCTTTTTATCCATATTAGAAAGTAATCTTTGTCTTACCCCCTGGGAGGCTGATGCGTTCCAGACAAAGAGCAGCTCTCCCACCCTGAGGGTCTCCCAGGCTCGGCCCCCTCCCCTCTCCTGCTCCCTACCCGAGCCCTGAATGCTGCACCTCGACTTGGGTGAGGGTGGGACCTGTTGGTTCTCTCTGGGCTTGTTCTGTATTGAGCACTGGACCATGTATTTTCAAAGTTTCTCCTTAATAAGAGAGATTTTCAATGGAAAGAAAAGTAGTAATGTGCCTTGCTGATGAATTAGGAGATTTTTAATTGCATTTCAGACCATTAATTGGTTACAAGACCAGTACTTCTCAGGAGCTTGAATAGGGGGGTAGTTTCCTGTCTCACCTAACTTTCAGATCGACAGTCACTGATGCATGTCCTTCACGTCTCATCTCTGGCCTGTGTATTATAGGCATTAGGGTTTTATATTTTCATCTCCACACTCCCACACCCTGCTTTGATCTCCTTTCCAGGTAGGGCATCTCGGGAGGTCCACGTGTCTGAGATCACAGAAAACAGCGCCAGACTCCAGTGGGAGAAGCCTGAGCCCCCCAATCCTTACTTCTACAGCCTTGCCGTCACCTTGGCCCATGACCAGTCCTTGGTTCTGAAGCAGAACCTCACGGTCACGGACCGCGTCATTGGGGGCCTGCTCGCGGGGCAGGCGTACCACGTCCTGGTGGTCTGCTTCCTGAAGTCTCAGGTCAGAGCCACCTACCAAGGAAGTTTCAGTACAAGTAAGTACCTGGTTGGTTTAAGAAAAGCTGGTGCCTGATTTTTACATGGGATCTGAAGCAGGAGCTCCCGGACCACAGCCATAAGCAGTGTCCACAGAGACTTCTCTGGTCTCTGTGTTTCCAGGGGTCACCCTTACATACGACGTTAAACCAGGAAGGCAGGCGTGCCTCAGTCCCTCAGGGCCCCTAAGACCTTCTGTTTCTGAGTTCCCTGCTAGTTGCATACATTTTTCTTTTATAGAGAAAACTCCGCCTCTGCCACCACAACCAGAGAAGGGAGCTTCTAGTTCGACCAGCCATCTGGTGGTGAGCACAGACCTGCTGGCTGGTAGCGAAACAGGTGAGTCGTGGAAGCATTAGGCCCATGAGCAGCACCCAGAGACAATCTGCCACACATTTTAAAGCCTTTGAAGTCTTATTTGTCTGCTGGGATTCCAGTTTCTCAGGCCAGGCATGGCTTCCGTGGGGAATCAGCTCTGTGTGGCCGCCTGGTCTCTCCTGCATATTCCAAGTTGTAAATGGAGACGAGCCTGGCCTGTCACCAGTCTTTTAGAGAAAACTGGATGGGGTTGCTCTGGGGGCTGTAGCCAGGAACGCATGTGTGTTAGTCATTTCCTCTGCGCCTCAGACTGGGGTCTGTGCATTTGCAAAGAGTAGGGTTTCATCCACTCAGTGATTTAATCTAATAAGAAACTGCTTAGAAGAACACAAGACAGCCCAGATTGGAACCCCTGCAACACATGGGTTTGGAGGGGATCCATGTCACTTCCAAACGTTCTGGTCCTGATTCTGCTCCCGCACCCTGGAGCCTGGTCTAGCTCACCACTCTCTGTGCCTGAGTGTGAGTGTGTGCACAGCTTATGTCAAATCTGTGACTATTAGACATGCTTCAGGGACTGACAGCAGTTATTCCAGGGTCTGGGCAGTGGGTCGGAGAGATCTGTAGCCCCTCACTCAGCAGAATGTGAGCTCAGGGAGTTCATCCATCCGAAACTGGTTATTGAAATAGTTGATATGCTTTGCTCAAGAGTGTTGTGCCAAAGATGGTGGTGCCAATACCCAAGTTAAAATTCACTGGGCATTTGGCTCTATTATTGTTTTATAGACCCCAAAGCAAAAGGTTTCTGCTAACTACGGGGACAGTTCATTAGTTTTGGGGTATTGGCCACAGTCAGGAGGAGGAAGGCGTACCTCTTTGCAGTGTTTATTTCTGCAGTCGATCACGGTGAAAGGCATTCCCAGGGGGCCTGGCTGCTTTTGTATCGAGCTAGATTTAAAAGCAGCTTCCCCAATAAGCATTGCATTGCGAGAGCAATAGCACATTCTTTTTTTGAGCTATCCATGAGGTTATCTCATTTTATTCTTTCTACTGTAAGTTTTTAAAGTGATATTTGTTTCTCCACCTTCCCCCTTCTGTAGTGTTTGCGCCCTCTCATCTGTGTTTACATAATATTGGATAGTTTCTAACTCCACATGTCATCACTTTGGGGACTTTTGGGAATAGGGCTTTTGATCCTTTTAGTTGTTTCTAGAGGGGATCTTTTCTATTTATTGCTAGGCTATTTTATTGCATTGATGGACTCACCCTATGTCCATATATATGTGTATATATCTATCTGTATGTATATGTGTATCATGAATATCTATAGATCTCTGCCTATCCATCGTCTATTTTCTATCCGTCCCTCAATACAGCTACATCCCATACTGACATGTGGCTTCAGGTGTTACCAGAAAGAAAGCGAGTAAATCAGTGTAGGAATTGGGGAGCTATTACACATATAGATGTGCACATAATAAGGGTGAAGACATGAACTACTTGTGGAACTGAAAAGTGTCTAAAATAGTTTGCTTCTGGAAACAAGTTTTGGAATCGGTTTATGTTAGGGATAGCCATGTGGTTTCCAGATTCTTCTAGCCTTTCCAGTGGAGAGACTGACAGAAAAACAAGGAGTTCTCTCTTCTTGATAGAAATTTATAGGAACAATTAATGGTAAGTTGGGTGATTAAGCTTTAACTTCTCATGGATTGCATGAAAAGTTTTTATAGAAACTTTTAATGTTATGACTCAAACTGAAAAAAAAAAAGGAAGTAGGCATGAGGAGTGCAGGTTTGGGATGGAGAAGGAAACTTAGGTCTCAACCCCCTTTGTTCCTGCTCGTAAGCTGTTTTCTGAGTCCTGCATCCAGGGGCCAGGGCGAATATTTGTGCCCTGCCCTGGGGGACCCCGCTGCTCCCAACCTGTCCCAGCTCCCTGCCCGAGTCCCCTCCGTCAGGTTTGCCAGCTTGGCGCTTGAGTTCAGACAGAAGCCACAAAGAACTTAGTAAGATTTCCCCAAAGATAGGGGTCAGGAACAGAAGAAACTCTAAAAGTCTCTGGAATCTGGATATTATTTCCCACTCATTGGCAAATTTACTCCTTGTAGAGTGTAGGAAATGTAAAATTTCTATTGAATCCAGTGCTTCATTGAGAGAAAATGGCTAGGAGGAAACCCCATGGCCAGATTTGGGGATGTTTGGGGCTCTTTTATGTGTGGTCCAAAAGGGATGAGAATATATAAACAGTGTTTAGTTAATATAAACAACACAATCTTTAAACAAGATTCTGCCTGGGTTGTTTTGTTTTGTTTTTTAAGACTGAGTCATAGTTCAGAGTCACGAAGGTGTTTTCAAGGCAGACCTGTCTACCTAGATGTCCTCTGTCCATGTGACAGAGAGAAAGGACTGTTTACAATTGGGGCTGTGTGCCTTTCAAGGACATAGGTAGTAGGTAGGTGGGGATGATGCCAAATCTTTCTCCTCCGTTCTGGTCGGTACATAGCCTCAAACCCAGGACTTGAATGTGTGTTTGCGCACATGCATGTGTGTATATTTCCCACCTAGCAATTTAAGTCACAGTGAAGATAGAAATTACCTGCTTTTCTTAAGAACAAGGTTCTGTGTAATTGCTCTCCAGTCCACACAGTGTCAAAACACTGCTTTGCCTGGAGAAGCTCATGATTGAAACACATTTGCTCAGTGGACATGTAGAAGTATGTGTGCACCACATGTGCGTGCACACACACACACCATTTTTGAGAGCTTTTTCAATTCAATTAATCAGACATTCACTTTAAAATATTTAAAATTCAAAATGAGTAACCAGAATTAGGAGATGAGAGCTTGTCATACCCCCTCCTTCCTAACCTCTCCTGTCCTTAATTAAGCATCTTAGAAACTTTTCCCAGGGGTCAAATATTTTTGTGATATTCATCTTTTTGCAGATAGAAGGAGTGACAACAAAACATTTTGCAGAGTAACTTTAAACAAATATAATAACTGTATTCTTACTCAGTAGTAGCATATATATTTGCATCCAAAAGTAACTCCTACAATATGTGTTATTTCTCCAGAATGTATTTTTGAGACAATGCAGGCAAAATTGAGTTCTAAAAATAGCATTTACATGAGGACATGAATACAGTTTAATTCCTCTTACTTTCTGCAGCACCAGTTAATTACAACTTGTTTTGCATTACAGAAATGTGTCCCTTTCTCAGTATTAGATACTTTTCTTTGCTTTTTTAACTTCATGAATAGGAGTCCACTGGGTTCTGATTCCATCTTAAGGAACTGTGCTTTGTCATAGTTTAGCACTTTGGATTTAGGATATGTGGTGACGAGGGTTTGTAATCTATGCAGGAATTTGTCAGCAAGATTCTATGCACTGAGCAAGTCCCTGGTCTGTCCTCTCACGGAGGAGAAGAGTGAGCAGTTGTAACAGTTGTAACACTTGAGTTCTCACTGGCACATGCTAATGTTCACCCGTGTCGAAATTCACATTTACCAGATGCTTCTCCATCAGGCATCTCTTTATTTGACACAAGCACTTGATGGGAGGACACTCTTGTGAGGGGATCTCTTGTCCCCCTGATGAGGCCTGGCCCTGTTTGGCATGGGGTGTGGCCTTCTGGGCTTTGAGATGAAGTTGATGAGGTTAGCGGACTGATGGCATCATTACGAACCACTCAGGATTCCAGGCTTTGCAAGATGGCGCGATTCCATTTCCAGTGGTTAGTACTTGTCTTTTCCTCCACAAAACAAAACAATCCCCTCCCCAAATGCCATCCCAGTCTTTTCTTTCCTCAGCATCTAAAGAATCTGTGATACTTTTGTTGCCTGTAAGCGTCAGTGAGCAACAATTCAGCTGATCTTTGGTGGATCGCCCCGTCTTCGGAAGTGTTGGCTGCGTGCGCGTTTGCCCAGCACGCTTTGTTCCTGCTGGCTTTCCCAGGGCTCGTCGCAGCTAATTTTGGTTTTTGGTTTTTGTTATATCTCTCTCCTCCTCCTCATTTTTTGGCTAAAGAAACCTTGGAAGGGTATTTCCTGTGTGTATTCTTACTAAAGCTAAGACTCTCTGAAGTTTCTAAGTGACAGCAAACTTTTACTCAGAAAATTTCCTTTATGCGACATGACAAAATGAACCCTAAATTCCTGGCTTACCCATAGGTGTCAAAGAAAAGTTTCAATACAGAAGAGAGCCAGTATAACTAACCAAATGTGTGACATTCTTTCTCACTTATTTTAGGAGTTAGCCATCGGTAGAAATGACCACATTTTGTCTGAACAGGCATTACCTCATTAATTACGTAGCTCTGAAAGAAATAAGCTCACCAATGTGTTCCTTATTTTATTGGTTCTAAGATGCACAATTTTCCCATTATAACAATTCTGAAATTGAAATGTGATTTGCCACTGATGACAAGTCATGGTTTATTGGCTGTGTTTTGTCTTACTTAGTGGAATATAAAATAATAATGCATAATAAAATTAAGATACCTTAGATTTAGTGAAGTACAGTATTTGATTGGCCATGTTCCACTGTGAATATATAGCACTGGCTTGCACAAAATGATGTAATTGGGAAAATATTGATGTTATATTAATACTGATTTAAGGAACTAACTTACCTGCAAGTGGAGGTAAATCAAATAGCTATAAATATTTTCTATAGTTGGTTAAAGAGAAATACTCATCTTCAAGACTGTGTACCATTGCTGCATTAGAATGTTATCTATGTCAGTTGTAATGTTTGGGTTATGCTGAGCCTCAAAGGGTGTTCAGCACTTTTTTATTGTCAAGTATGAAAGTCTTTGAAAATAAAAGTCTATTGGTTAAGATCTGAAAGAGCAAAGGGTCTAAAACTTAACCACAGGTACACTTATAACAAAGTTAAAAATGCCAAGTTTCCTTGTACCTTTTGAGCCAATCAGTGTTCAACACTGAGTGCACTTGGTACAAACTTGGCCATTTGGGGGATGCTCTGGGGAAGAAAGGAGACAGGATGAGGCAACCATTTGGCCTGGGCATCACGCTCACAGGGAACCCCCCGTAAATGAGGAATATGGTTTGGTGGCTGGATAAGCTTGCCTTGCTCAGCCTCTTCCATGACATTCCGTGAAAGACAGGCATTTCCCTTCAGTTGTTGGCACATTTGAGAGGAAGAAAGTTGTTTCAGTCAATTGTCATCATTTTATTCTGACTTCATTGGCTTGGGAAGCCTCTTGGTAAGCACCACAGGCTTCTGGGCCTCTGAGAGGGTCTGCAACTAGGAACCGTTGTAGTTGTGGGGCCCCCAACTCCGCATGCTTGGGTGACAGCTTCCCCAGAGTCACCAGGGAGTGTTTTCGACCAGTTCTGAGCCTCAACCCTGTGTCTTCTCCACTGGCATGTCTCTTCGAGTCTGGTCTGTTGTGGTAGACCCAAGCTTTGATTCTCTACCTCAAGATTTAGGTTTTCCTTTTCCTTCCCGAGAACTGCAGATGCTCACCACCCCTGCAGCTGTGAGCAGCCCACGTAGCTGGGGATAAAGGTGCATGCAGATGTGAGCTGCAGGGGGCTGCAGAGCGAGTCAGGACCTAACTCATGTGAACGTCTAGCACTGTCCACTCCAGGGAGTTTTGTCAAAGGAAGGTTTATATTTGTCAAACTTTCAGATAACGATTGACAATAACACTGCTCTTTCCCAACATGATCTGGAGTGTGCCAGAAAATTCTATAAACAGTTTGACTGTGGATGAACCATAAACTTTCCTTTACAGGCCTCTTGGAGAATCTAGCTTTTGCTTTGCAGCTGGGCTACATCAGGAGTATGCATTTAAAGCATAAACTTCAGGAGTATGCATTTAAAACATAAACCGGGAAAAGAATGTTTATCTGTCTTCAAAATAGCTTTGCTATGTAACATTTTTGCATCGTGAATTTTGTATCAGTACGAGCTCTTGTTACTTACTGGTTCAATTTGGCTGGGCAGGAAGGCACTCAGGCTACACATATGTACACACAACATATATGTACACATGCACACATCATAAAGGATTTTCCTTTTCTGCTTAACTTTTATTTTCAATCTTCTTGACTTGTAGTGCAATGTACGGCCCTATTTTTGAACTTTATCTTGACAGAACTTAATTGCTATTTTGCCAAGGACTAGAAAACTCCAAGGTTTTAAGATTCAGTCTTGTCTGGGAATCTAGCACTTAAGGAACTGCAGGGTAAATGGTGCAGTGGTTGGAAAGGGGAGAAATGGTTCATTTCATCTCAGATTGTCCAATAGCCATAGCCAACATTTGGGATTCTGAGTGCTGTATATGAAGCCTTTTCATTGACATGACTGTATTTATTGCCCCCAAGGCCATTGGTGATCATGACGTCCATTTGGCAGTGAGGAGGCTGAGGTGTGGGGGTGCTGAGGGGGCGTTTCCCTCCCTGAAGACCTTTTCTTCTGCTTGAGAACATGGTGGCTGGACCTGTAGCCTGGAACACCAGGAGCAGAGTGCCTTGAGCTAATTCATGCCTTTTTCTCATCTCTTTATTCAAGATATATGTAAGTTCCCAAAGGATGAAGGAACTTGCAGGAAGTTTATACTGAAATGGTACCATGATTTAGAGATGAAAAGCTGTGTGCGATTCTGGTACGGAGGCTGCGGTGGAAACGAGAACAGATTTAATTCACAGGAAGAATGTGAAAAGGTCTGCCCTCCTGGTAAGTCAACATTCTTTCCTGTCTGTGGCTTTGGCAAATCGGATGCGAGATCCAGGCCAGTAATTCACCTTTTAAAAATACTTGAATTACTGTGGTTATGGTAGATATGAGAAGGAAGATACATTGTATCCTCAGATAAGGAAGATAGTCAAATGAAACACATAAAATTATTTTTCTGAATTATTATTATTTACTAAAAACATACTTGTATACTTGCATTTTTGCCGGTGAAGAAACACACAGCCCTACACTTCCTCACCCTTCAGATGTGTTATTCAGTCCCTGTTATTCATAAAATATTGCAACAAACATGATTAGTAGTAGGAAAATAATATAATGAACAATTGTGGGTAACACCAAAGATGAATAAGCCCCAGATATTGATCTTTATATAATTTTGCTCCTCTAAATAATAACGTGGACACCAGGGTCATTCATGTGATATTGGATCATCCATTTATGATATTGGACACCTCGACTGGTAATAAAATAAGAACAGCTTCACAGAGAGCCTGGGGCCGGTGCCAGAAAGGGGTGAGTTCCATTGGCATAAAGGCCTGGAAGGTGATGCAAGGTGAGAACAGGCTCACGCTGCACAGAGGGCCTCAGACCGCAGGCCAGGATGCTCCCGGGGAAGAGCTGAACATATTGAGCAGAGAAGTGAGGTTGGCGAGGAAAACCAGAGGCCGTGAGATCCATTTCATGAGCAATAGTGTCCTTTTTGGTCAGTAATGTGGCTTTTTCCCTCCTCGTCTCTCCCTCCTGCATCTCACCTGCCCCATCCGTCAATGCTCAGCGCTCACGAACCCCAGAGTCATCGCTGCCATTGGGACCTAGGCATGGCCAGCCGGCGACACATACCTCTTGAAGGAGTCAGTGAGTCATGTCCGTAGCAGCTCCGGTGTGGACGGCCTGGCCCTGTACCGTTTCGCGCTTTGACTTACCCTCGAACCCGGGAGGAGCCGCTCTGCCGCAAGACCTATCGATATGGTGCTACGTGTGTCTGTGGACCCAGGGCTCTGTCTCCAGGCGGTTATAGTGTAGACTGCGTGTCGTGTTATAGTTATCCACTGCTGGTGTTGGTGTGAACGTTTCTATAAATGCAGATTCCCTCTGGAGTTTCACATTATGCCTGATTTGGGCAAATGCGAGGTCTGGAGAATAACTGAATTTCACAGCTGCTCTCTGTATTTCTGCCTGGCCCCTTGTTTCTTCTCTTAAGCATGACTTTAGATGGAAAGCCTATGTACGGCAAATAAACAGAGTCCAACGTTTTCATTCCCCCCCAATTACCTGGATTAGATTTCCAGCTACTTTTCCTTTTCCAAAGCCTCTAACAAACAGCCTGGTTAGAAGGAACTGAAATCTCTTCATGTGTGTGCACTGCGGTGGGACCAATGCCTTAATTAAAGAATGAAAAGAAAGTCATAATAGAGAATATTTTTGGCATTCCTCTAATGTTGTGTGTGTGTATTTTTTTTTTTTGCTGGAGGTGGGGTTTAATTTTAATTTTAAAATTTTTAGGAAATTTATACAAAGAAACTTTTTAATAAAGTGTATTGAAAGTGTCCTGGGTTTGGCATTATCGGCTGTCTTGTTTCCATAGCACCTGGTGTCAGAACCACTCCCAGGCCAGGGGACGTGGGCGCCGTCCGGGCCCGTGGTCCTGGGTGCCCCCCTTTTGTTTCCGGTCGGGGTTAGGGGTGGTGAGAGCCCTCCATCAGACAGTGTGGATGCAGCCCCTTCTGCTCCCTCATTCCGTGCCCTGGCTGGTGGGTCACTTCCTTGCTCAGGACCCCTGGAGCCTTCTGCGTTTAAGAGCCAGGCTGAATTGCACCCTCCTCTCTGACTGCTGGTTGGACCCCAGAGCCCTGGCCCCCTCTTCCAAGTGGTGGTTTGCTCCGGCCCCACAGAGGCTGAGAGGTGAGAGGCAGCGGGCCCAGGAGGCCCTGTCCCTCTTCTGGAGTCTCACAGACAAAGCACAATGTCTCTTTATTTCCTCAAAGATCTTTTTCTCCTGTTTTTAGGAAGGACCCAGGAAACAAGTAGATATTGATGGAGGTGGTCCCTGAACCCCACATACGAAGGAAACTGCATGTGCCTGACAAATCCCATCAGCTCTGACAGGTGCTTTTGCCAGAGCTCTGGAGCCCTTGGTGTGTTTCATGTATGACGGGGGGAATCTGGTAGACATGTCTGGAGCCAGGGAGACGGGGGGAGGCTGGGTGGTCACCTCTCCCCGGGATTTCCACCTAGATCTTTGTGTCAAAGCCTCAGAGTGCACTCAGAGGGGCCCCATCTGGCGGAGGGCCTGGGCTTTGTGCCCGCAACAGCGTGGGAGGGGACCAAGGCAAAGGGCAGGCCTGGAAGGCTGTGTGCGGCAGGCCTCTGAGGGGACTTGCAGGAACCCGGGGGTCAGAGGGGATCTGAGCTCACTACAGCTCGTGGGGACTGAGAGGCCTGCTCGAACTTCAGGGCAGCTTCAGGGGGAACTGCAAAGCTTTGGGAATCACTTTCTGTCACAGCCTGGGGCCCTGGACACCTCTGCTCGCATCATGCCACAACCCCCTGGCACCCCTCACCCCCACATGCTTCTGTGTGAGTGACTCACTGAGCCAGCCCTTCCCTCTCATAGGCCTCTTTTGCCCCCAAGGTCACGCTGACCTCTCCCCAGCTTTGAAGTCACACCTCTTTAGCATGAGGCCAACCTAATGGAACAGAGAGCCCAGTGGGGGTCATGAACTCCTCCAAATGGATATTCAGTCTGCGGGGCAGCATGCCCCTGGTGACTTCCTCAGGGACAGCCACCCCGAAGTTCTCCAGCCCCTTCCATGTAAACTGGCCTGGGTGCCTCCCCTCAGGCTGCATGTGTTCAAGCCAACTTCATCCCACGGAGCAAAAAGATGTGTGAGTGGGGTTGGTGAAGGCTCATCACTGGTGTGGCGGGCGGCCTGGAGCCATGGAGCGGCCCCGTGCTGTTTGCGAGGCCCCCAAAACACGGCCACAAACTGGCAGCTTAAAACAATAGACGTTTACTCTTGCACAGTTCTGGAGGCTGGAAGTCCAAAATCATGGTGTTGGCAGGGCTACCCTGAAATCTGTAGGGGAATCCTTTCTCGCTTCTGCTACTTCCTGGTGAATCCTTGGCTTGAAGGTGCGTCACTCTGCCTCTGTCTGTCCTCACATGGCCCTCTCCTGGGTGTCTCTGTCCTCATGTGGCCCTTCCCTGGGTGTCTGTCCCCATGTGGCCCTCTCCTGGGTGTCTCTGTCCTCATGTGGCCCTTCCCTGGGTGTCTGTCCCCATGTGGTCCTCTCTTTGGTGTCTGTCCCCATGTGGCTCCCTCCTGGATGCCTCTGTCCTCACGTGGCCCTCTCCTGGGTGTCTGTCCCCACGTGGTCCTCTCCTGGATGCCTCTGTCCCCACATGGCCCTCCCCTGGGTGTCTGTCCCCACGTGGCCCTCTCCTGGGTGTCTGTCCCCATGTGGCCCTCTCCTGGGTGTCTGTCCCCATGTGCCCCTCTCCTGGGTGTCTGTCCCCACGTGGCCCTCCCCTGGGTGGCCCTATATTCACCTGGCTGTCCCCTTATAAGGACACCAGTCCCAGTGGATCAAGGGTCCATCCTACTCCAGTGTGACCTCATCTTAACTAATTACATTTGCAATGACCCTCTTCTCAAATAAGGTCACATCCTGAGGTACTGGGCTTAGGGCCTCAACATACCTTTTCCTTGGTGGCGGCACCCAGCTCAGCCCATCCCACAGTCAGCATTTCAGTCCTGCTCCGGGTTCTGTTGTGTTGATGCTGAGAACTAGTTCCAGTAAAGGGTATTAGCTGAATTCTGTCACCTTCTAGGCACTTGCGGCTGTTAAAACCATCGCTAATGGGTCTTAACACTCAGTCCTATTCATTTTAAAACTTAAATCCCAGATACCATCAAAGCCTTCCCCCTGGAGCCCCAGGGCAGATTGGACTCATGGTGCTGGGTGGCGTCTGAATGGAGACGTCTTGGTCTGCTCCCCCGCACATTCCTTGCCACCCTCCAGGCCTTTAGAGTTGCACAGTATTTGCCAGACTCTGAGGCTGGGGCTGACCGTCACTGCCACCCTCTTACCTGCCCTGCCCTTGGTCCCCTCTACAGCAGGGTCCCTGGGCTGACCCCCGTGCATCAGTCCTCTGGAGGAACATGCCAAGGAACCTGCCGAGCCTCGCCTGGGCAGTCTGGCCTCTGAGAACTTCTCTCTCCCCTCTCGAAGCCCTGCAGGGGGACGTCCTCCCAGGCTCCTGGTGCTTGGGCGTCTTTATCTAGTAGCCCCTTGGGGTATAGCACAAGCAAGTCGACTCATGTCCAGCCACCTTCTCGACCACTTAATCCACAGGAAACGCACGTGGCCTTGCCATATCAACTGGCTTCCCTCTTTCCCCTCGCCCACTGAGCTCCTCCCGAGGGTCCAGTGGTCAGGCATGAGGTCAACTGAGAGCTGGTCTGTAGCCCCTGACTCGGTGGAGGGAAGGAATGATTCTGCCCCCCACTCCCTGACTTTGAGTGCTTCTCTTAGGCTTTGACTTCAGGGAAGAGGCCAGCTGGATGCCCACTCATGCCACCAAAGGCAGTGAGTCCCACCCCTTCCCCACAGGAGGTGAGGAAGGCGAGCCCCCATCATCCTTCAAAGGCAGCATGACCTCTGCCCCAGGTTGTCCTTCACCTCAGCAGGGGCTGTGGGGACCTCACGTGCTGTGTTCCTGGCTGGGGCCCTTGGCCATCAGCTCTGGGTAGATAGGATCCATCAGGACCCAATCCCAGCCTTTTGTAGGAATTTAATGGGCAGAGAGCTCTGGGCCCCAGCCCCCTCAGTGAGGGGCTGACTGTTGCCTTCTCCCCCTAGACCCTGCTCTCAAATTGCCCTGTTTGTGAACTTAAGCTGCTTTATAATCTGTGTTGAAAAGATGCACGTAATCATTCTCTCCATTTCACCGGTGTTCACTGAATATTTACCATGTGCTAAATCCAAGTCTAGGCACCAGAAATGGAGTTCCCCTGGGGTTACCCAGGGTGGGGGAGCCAGACAACACAAATACATTCATAAAACAAGAGCGGGTGGGAAGTGCCAGGAGATAAATCACCACAGCCACCTTTCCTATCCCCTTGGGCTCCTGTCTGTCCTTGTGCAGGGAGCACGTGGTGACCCGAGGAAGAGAAAGCCTGAAGTGCCACAGGGGTACCTGGGAAAGGCAACGGGCAGGGACTGGGCTGTGGCCAGTGGGGGGGAGGGCTGGAGGGGCCGCTGGTGGCTGGTGTAAGCCGCTGGCTTTTACTCAGTGACATGGATGCTGCCATTCAACAGCTTGACCAAGGGACTGGCAGATCTCGTGAGTTTTAAAAGACCTGCTGGGTGCTGTGTGTGGACGAGATATCAGTCGTGAGGCAGGGGCGCCGGTGATGAGGCTGGGGCAGGAACCCAGGTGATAGGCAACAGCGGCCAGGACCAGAGCAAAAGTCAATGAAGTTCAGGCTCTGGGTACATTTTGAGCTAATACACCCAAGAATTGATACAATTTTTGTGTTCAGTTTTTCACGTTTATTCCCACAAAGGAAACAAAACCCTGTGTTAGACCATCTGTCCTGACGTTGTGTTCAGTGAAGTGTGGTCTGAGCTGCTGGGTCCTGGCCTCAGACAGCTGTGGGCCTTTTTCCAAGCCCTGGCCTTTGTCAGACCACACCACAGACTCCATGGCCTTCCCGTACCCTGGTGTACCCCAACCCAAATGCCCACCCAGTTCTTTCTGGGGCCACCTCGGAGAACTTCCAGCCTGGCTGTATGCAGGTAGCTTGCCAGCAAAGAACACCTGTTTTGGATTTTGTGGGCAAGAGCTAACTTCTGATGCACTGAGGTTTTGGGCTGCTCTGGCAGCCAGTGTAACCTGAATTGGCACAGGTCACTTTGATCCTGTAGCAGCTGTGCGTCGGGCACCGTCTGGGCACTTCACACGTTAGCTCAGCAGTGTTCTCTGGTGGTGATCATGATCCTAGCTTTACAGGGGGTGAAACAGAGGTCAGGGTGGTCCACTTTGTCCAGCTATGACCTAATGGAGGCTATGTCTAAGCAAGTCGTCGTGACCCAGAAGCTCTCCCGGAACTCCAAGGGTGTACTGGTCCCTGCGGGACCCTTGCTGTCATTCCCCAGAGGTCTCATACTGATTCTGGGGAAGGGGTCTGCGCTCTGGCTCCATCTCCTCCCAGCACAGCTCCCTGCCGAGGCCGTCATGACTCTTGCTGGACAGAGAATCCTTACCCTTGCCCCTCCTTCTATCCCAGTTGTGCTGCCTCTTTTTTACTATCTGGAGTTGCTCTTCTCAGGGGAGGACTTGGGGAAGCTCATGTTTAGGGCCTGTGCATAGGGCAGCCTGCTTGGGCCTCCAAGACCCAGCCGCTGGGATAGCTGTTTGGCCCACTATCAGCACGTCTCGGCCCTTTCATCATCAGCTTTGCTGGACTTGTGAATATAAGTGCCTTCAGCCCCTCCTCTTCCCTATTTTCTATATAATTAAAAAAAACTCAGTGGGCACCACTCTCCCTGTAGGAAAGCAGTATCATGAGATCTCAAGATTGATTTTAAATTTCTTCCCCCACTGTGACTCATTTTTAGGGAATGGTTCAGATTTCCCTGCCAAATTTCCCTGCTGTGGGTTTCCAGTGGGACCTGGCCACTCTGGAGGGGTCAGGGGTGCCGACAGTGCTGAGCCACGGGCCACGGGCCACAAGCGGGGGCCACCGTGTGGCCTACAGCCTCCATGACTTCAGGTTGCTGGTCTGAGCTTAGCTGCTGGCTTCCTCCCGCCTTCCCTCGGGGCTGGAGTACAGATGGTCAGCCAGTCTTCCTGCCCTCGGGTTCTTGGGGGGTCTTCCTGTTTGTTTGGGATCCTGATTCCAGAGCTGGATGGCTCTTCAGAGTCTCTGAAGCCCAGCGCGAAACAAATTCAGGTACCTTCTCCCCATTATTCCTGATTCTGTGGCCCACATGGTGGGCATGAAATTGCCAAGGAGCAAAACGCCGAAGAAGGAGTATTTCAGAATCCAGCCATGGGTGGCCTGAAGACATCTGGTAGTGGGTGATGCGGAAGAGCCGAAGAAGAAACAGCCTCCGGGAATAAAGGGGACACCTTCCAAATGATACTCAACCTGGAAAATAGACGTGATTTTCCTGCCTTAAGTCAGAGGTGTCTATGAAAGCCTCAGGCCACTGTTGCAAAAAGTTATCTAGTAGAAAAGATTTGAGCATCTGCTGAGGGGACTAGCCAAGCATGTTTAAATTTAGGAGGAATGCTGACATTCCAGCATTTGCCTTAATTTTCCAGGAGCTAGAAACAGAGATAGTTAGCATAATACAAAGAAATTGGAAGAGCCTATAAACTTGAGAAAGAATATTTCTGCCTTTAAAGACTCAAACTAGAGCAGTTGCATTTGATAGGAATTTTTGTTCAAGAAATTGCCTGGTCATTTGTGACCAGGTTCCTCTAAAAGCAGACCCTAAATCCTATAGGGTTGCAGGTTGTCTGGGAAGATATGTGCAAAGCACAAGTGAGGGAATTGGGAAGCTAACAGAGAAAAGTCAACAAAAGTTGTGTTACTTTCAAGCAGGGTGCATCTCCAGCAGCAGTGGCAGTGAACAACGGGGTCCCACCCTGCTGAGGACCCGCCAGGAACTGGGGTGAATGTGATGGCGAAGGGGCACTAAACCCCCCTGATGAGAAAGGGTTGTCTGGACACAACCAACTATACTCCTGATTACTCAATTGGGACAAATGAGGGGATGCACTGATTGACCAGATATTCTGAGCTCTGACCACAAGTCCACTGTACACTCCCCACCAGAGGGGTGTCAGCAAGCTGTTCTGATAAAGGACTGCCTGGTATCCAGTGTCCAGGGGACTCCAGAGAGAGCCACGGACCACTTGTCTGTGGTGTGACAATTGGCTCTGGCTTTGACTGTCCAGCTTCCCGGTTCCTCTCCACATATAGAACTGAACCTAGTTTTCCGGTCTTCCCATTGCTATTATCTTTCCAATGAAATAATTTTCAGCGCATGTTAATCAAAGTAAGTTTCTGTTGCTTGCAACCTAGGACCAACCACTTGTTCAACACACATCTGTTGAGCACCTAACGTGCCAGGTATTACATGACACACTGGGGTGCAGGGGGCATGGTGCACGTTCCCTGCCCTCATGGACCTTGTGGTGGCAAGGCAGATAGGCCGCGAACATGCAGACACGTAACACGTGAGGATGAATCAGCAGGGACGGAGCGTATCTGGGGAGCCCCTGGGTGGCCAAGCAAGCCTTTCTGAGGAGCTGACGTATACTCGGGAGGCAGGTGTGGGAAGGCCTGAGGGACGAGGACTCAGGGTCGAGAGAAGAGCTGGGTCAAAGGCTCCTCTGAGTCTGACCTGGTGAGTCTGGCACATCGGGGCAATAGTGCAACGGCCAGTGTGACTGGGCCAGCAAGTGAGGGGGACGTTAGGGACTGGTTAGAGAAGATGAGGCTTCCGCCAGGCGCTGGCCATGGACAAGGAGAAGAGAGGATGGGTCTGGACTCACCTGGGAGCTGAGGCCGTAGGACTTGCTTATGAATTAGACACATGGGTGGGGAGGAGCCGTTCACTGCGGACGCCTGTTACGGAGGTGAGGAATAATGGGGCAGGATGGCATTTTTAGTGTGCCATTTGCTTCTTTGTAGAAGCAGGGTGGTGTAATCAAGGATTCTCTGATGAACGTTTTACTTTGGGGTGCCTGTTGAACTCTCTGGTGGTGCTATCAAGAGGCGGTTGAAGTTTAGAAGAGGGACTGGGACTAGGGGCATAAATTTGGTGTTTTGGAAAATATGTAATATTTTAAGCCACGAGTCCAGATGCGATGACCTAGATTTTGAGCACAGATAAAGAAGGGAAAGGAGTTTGGAGAGGCCTCCGGGCACACTGACAGTTAAAGGTCGGGCAGAGGCCCAGTCGAAGAGGTTGAGAAGGAACATCTGGAGCAATAAGAAGGGAACCAGGACAGAAGAGTCACGCAGAGCATGAAAGGAACTGCCTCAGGAAAATGGCATGTCCAGCCGTTGAGCACTCCTGAGACAAGGGCAGGTGGGTCTAGAGATCCGTGTGGATGTTGACGTGTGTATTAGACATTCTCAACTACCGGGGACTGAAACCCTGTCTCGTACTGGCTCGGACCATAAGGACATTTTCATCTCCATCACAGGAAGTCCAGAGCTGGGGCCATGGGGCGGCCAGGTACACGGCTGCGTGATGCTGTCAAACATCCACGTTCTCTCCATCTCTGCTGTGTGCAGTGTGGGCTCCATCCTCCAGCTGGGGACAAGACAGATGCCTTCGGACATGGCAGTAGTGAGAGGAAAAACAAGACCATGTCTTTCTGCGGCTCTCTTGGGTGTGAGACAGCGTCTCCCAAAAGCTCCCCAGGTATTCTGCTGGCTGGGATTGGCTCACGTGGCCTTCCCTAAGCCAATCTTTGGCAAGGCGACTGTTATCACTCTTAGACAAGAAGCCCACTTCCCTTCAGTCCCAGAAACTTGAAGATCAGCGTAGCTGTGGTCAGGAGGGTGTGAGCTGAATGCATTGGTTCGTGCGCCCACCTGGGCCTGTGTGTGCGTCCGTGACGCACAGTGGCGTGTGCCACTGGATAAGCCGTGGGTAGTTCATTCGATCAGAAGCTTTATTCTACTAAATTAATTTTCTCCAAAAGACACAAAGGAAGAGTGAAGTAGAGCTTTTGTTGAAGGGCAGAACTTGAACAGAGGGCCCTGACATTTAGAGTTTCTTGTGGTTCCCTCCTGTGGTCCAGGACGACTTGTGACCATCAGCTCCACTGCCTCAAGGGTGGCTCCTGCTTTGCAGCGCCTCTCGATTTGGATGTCGCTGGTCTGTGCCACACACTCCAGCCTGCTCCTAATTTCCAGCCTTCTTGATTTTCTGGTGGCCTTCACTAATTCCAGGGTCAGACTGAATGCTTGTGAGCCATGGCGATGTTTTGGAAACCACTATAATGGCTGGGTAAGAGTTTACAGCCATGCAAAAAGACTTCGAACATCTCTCCATCTTTGCTTTTCTGCACTTGAGTGGGGTGAGAGAGTGCTTGGCAATAGAGTGTGTGGCCCTTATTTATACACACTAAATAGCTCATTGAATTTGCTCCCTCATCAAGGTAACTGATGCTACTCGTGATAAGGTGCAACTTCCAGATGTCAAAAATAAATACTAACCATTCTGAGAAACAAAACCATATGCATATGTGTTACTCTTCAGAATAAAGTCCCCACAATTGAACATACTCTGTTTCTGTGGTCTTCTATTCCATTCTATTCTGTTCTTCCTTAGAAGATATTCAGAGAACTGTTCTGTGAGGTCACCCTGAGAAAGTCTTGCACCGAGGACTGGGTCTGTTTAGCGTCAAGCGCTGACCAGCTAGCCAAACAGCTTTGATTTGTGAAGTAAATGTCTGAAGGGAATTTACATGAGAGCTCCAAAGCCTCCAGCACGAATGAATCACCCAGGGACTGTTAGTGCTGAGACGGCCAGAATGGAACCTATCTATCAGCTCAAATCCTTCTCCTTATTTGAGTTTCAAAGGAAAAACCTATTTTCACTTGAAGGCTGTTTGCAGGCAGGTTCCTGCTCATTCCTCGTGTCCAGAGAGCTCTCTTGGGAGGAGATGCGTCCTCGGCCCGGGGTCCGTGCTGCCGTCCCCACAGCCACCCGAGCTGTCTTTCTCAGGCCTTTTAAGGAAACACGCTGGGCCTCTGGCTGTGTTTCAGCTGCTGTGTTCCGGTTTGCGCACGGAAGCCGTTGCCTGCCACTTGGCAGGGAGAGAGCGCGTCTGCCAGCGTGGCAGGGTGGGCGCTAAACATAGCCGGGCGGTTCAACAGGCTTTGCTGCAGCAGCTTGTTTTCATCTGCTGGGAAAATGCAGGGCCCAGGGGCTGGGTCTCATCGGGACCCTGGAATTCCCTTGTTTGGCAGAACTTGTTACTGGAACCCCATGCCAAGGTAATCTTTGGTTTTCAGAGAGGGGCTCCACAGTGAGGAGCTCCATGGGCCACTCCCTCTGGGAATGGCCCTGGTAGTGAGGCATATGCGTTCTTGGACCCCTGGGTCCCCACCTTTACTGCCACAGCCTTTCGAAGTGGGCAGAAAGGAACAGTGCTGAGGAAATGTGTCATAGCCTGAGTAGCCACAGGGACTGTGTCACAGGCCACCCTGAGCCCCAGGGGCCCTGGGTCTGTTTGGAGCCCGTGTAGTACGCTTGGCTTAGCTGAGGTCGCAACGCAAATGCCTTCGAGGCCCGGAGCAGGCTTCGTAGATGAGTAAGGCCACAGGAAAGACTGCTGGGGCTTGAGGCATATGGGGCGGAAGTCTACTTACAGGCATGCAGGTTTTAATACCACAGCCAAATAAATTTCCTTTAGGCAAATCTAGCCCTTGGACCACCAGTGTCCATCTCTGGTCATGGGCACTGAGTTAAAATTTACTGTTGCTCTGTTTGGTCTCATTAATAACTGTGCAAAGATTTGCACTTTGGCCTATAAATAGAGCCCCCTAGACCTCAGGATCATTGACGTGACCCCAATGGAGGATAGAACAGGTAACAATTCTGAAAGTCTTATTGTAAACATGTGCCTGACTGTGGAGTCCCTGAAGTTGTTTGAAGATTTGCTATGCTCAGTAATGCTGTTTTCATAAAGAATAAACAGAGTTCATGGTGCAATATGTGTCCGGGATGTGCTGAGCATTCAGGGCCACAGGAAAGAGGAGACCAACCTACAGTAGTTGGTCATTAATGCACCAAATGCCGAAGACAAGTGTTTCCATAAATAAAGTGCCTGGAGAAGGAAACTTCTGAAAGTGAAGCTATGGACTGGTCTTGGGGATTTGGCCTCTCCTGATCATCATTGTATCTGGTAATTATAAAATCCAAGCAGACCTGAGAACAGTCATGTCAGAGCAGGTGGGGGTATGTGTGAGCTCTAACGTCTAAGAACTATCTGGTGTAAGTTACCACCCAGGGCTGTGTGGGCATGTTCGGGTTCGGGTTCAGGTTAGGGTAAGGGCTGTGGGCTGTGTGCATTGCTCTGCCAGGGTCTGCGTCAACAGGGATGGATATGGTGGAGTCTTTGTCTGTCTATCTAGTTGGGGGAAACAGACATGTATGTAACAGTTGCAGGGAAATACGGAAGAGCTTTGATAAAGGCTCACACATGATCAGAAGTTCCTCTGGCAGCCAGGCCCTGTGAAAGGCAGTAGGGATGAGGAGATGAAAAATCACACTTGAAGGCTTTGGAGAGAGGGTTAGGGCTCAGAGAGGGGAGGTGCTCGGGGGTCACAGATTTGTTATCACTTGATCTTCCTGAGGTGGTGGTGATGACGCTGTCCTGGGGGCCAGGTAGCAGGTCTTAAAGGGCCCTGCTTGCCTGCTGAAGAGGTTCTGTTTAATACAGTGCAGGTGGAGGGATGGTGACTGAAACTCTAAGTGGGCCAATATACTCCAGGGCTGCAGGACAATTTACTCCTCACTTTCTGTTGCCATGAACTGTTTGATTTCTGCAAAGCAGAGTGGGGCGGCAGGAGGGGACGCCGTTAACAGTCAGGTAGGGCTGCTCCACTGGGGGAAGGAGTAAAGGGGCAGAAGAGATGCAGAGACAGAAAAAGAGGACTTGGAGGCTGGTGAGGACAGGGGTAGGCTGACGACGGCTTCCAGCTGTCAGGGTTGTAGAGCTGGGTGTGTGGGGGCATTGATTCCTTGAGACAGGGAACACGTGGTGAGTAGGGGAATGCTCAGGAAAGTTTTGAGGTTCTTCTGCGCATAAGCTAATCAGCATGCAGCTAGAGGAGGGAAGTCCGATTTGGGAGGAACCCGTGCATGACTGAAGCCTTGCAAGCAAATGCTATTGCCTGGAGAGACTGTGCAGGGAGCAGAGAGCGTGGCTGGCACTGGGGAGCAGAGGACAGACCAGGGGCACGACCTTCATGGGGGATTCTGGGCATCAGAAGGGGGAAGCAGGGGGCGAGGAGGGCTGATTCTAGGGATGAGGGCTGGGGAAGGGAAGAGAATTTCGGGGAGAATAGAGCCAGCAGAGTCCAGGGCCAAGCTGCCACATACTAGATGGATGGTAATGGGGTTTCTTTTCACTGATCGTGGCTCTGCAGCATCACGTTAGTGCAGATCTTTCACTGCTGTGCGTGCACCACAGTAAAACCTGCGCAGTTGTGGGACACTTACCTTGTTTTGGGGTTTTCACTCTCCTAAGCTGTGCAGTGATCAGAAACCTTGTGTGTGGCTGGCAGCATGCTATCTTTCTGCTGCTGCAGCACGAATGGTAAGTGGGGTGGTCGGTCTCTGCGTCATCACATTGCCGCTACAGAAGTTGTCCTGATTTATACTCCCACTTACGGTCTTTGAAATGTCACATCTGAGACGGGTATGTTCACTTTATTAAATTTTTGCTAATTTGATATACGAGAACTTATGTTGCATTATTTTAATTTTTAAAAAGTATTAGTGAGGCTGAAATTTTAAACAAACTGAATTTATTCTGAACAGTTGTGAAATGTCTAACGGTAACATATACAATGGCTTTTCCAGGCCAGAGACGTGCTCCATGCCCGGGATGCGTCATGTCTAATCCTCCTGGTGCTGACGGTGGCTCTTCATTTTGCAGGCAGAGCAACAGCGGCTGAGAGGCTCTGTAACCGCCCCGAGTCACATGACTGCTAAGTGGACAAACTGACTTTGGAATTCAACACCGTCTGAACATCTGTGTTGCCAGCTTTTGGCCTAGTTATTGTTCTGTTTTAAAGGTTTTTTTTACTAACTGAATGGCTTTCACAAATATTACATATTATTAAAATACTATCTTCCTTTTATTTATGTGGCTTTATATTTTTATTAACTCATATCGATTGTTTTTTTCCCCCTACAAACTTCATCTCTGCTTCCATGCTTATAATTGCCATCTCGACTTCCAAATTTCAAACTATTTAGTGGATGTTGTCTGGGCATCTGCCCAGGCCCTGGACCCCTTCTTTGACCACTGCCCCATGGTCCCAACCCCCTGGGATCAGAAGCCATGTCTTAAGGAATCACAGCAAAGTGCAAAATGCCCTGGTAAACTGTTAATCACTAGAAGTTTGAATTACTGTATTAGGCAATCAGGGGCTGAAGAGCAGCTGACTCAGAGGTCTCAGGCTGTGGCTCAGATGCCACGGGCACCACCACAAACTGAAAAGGAGAGGTGGCTTGCTGAGGTTCCTGGGGATGCCGGGGAATCCCCAGGGGTCGTGAATAAGGCCTCGGCTTCCTCATCATCTCAGGCCATCCTTGGGCCCAGGAGCCAAGCGGCTGACCTCAGCCTCTAAGTGATCTGCCAGTGGAGAAAAAGAGAGGCCCCCCAAATGGGGGCCCAGCAGGAGTAGCATCATGTTCCCACTCTGTATGTGTCCCCAGCCTTGTGCCCTCCTGGCAGGATGCCCTGGCCGGCGCATTTCCTGCCTCCTTGGTGCGGGGCATGAGAGCAATGGCCCTGCGGCCACCTCTATCTTGTTTCTTGATTGTAACGCCCAGACATTAGGTTTCTTTCCCTCTTGTTACGGTCCGGTGAGGTGCCTGATCTGGTTGAAACATTTAGGGGCTGGGAGGACTGAGTCAGCTGCCCACGAGGGCCACAAGCGCCAGAAGCCATGGCCTGTGGGGGGGGGCTGGCCTGAGACCCTGCTTGCTGGGAAGGTTTCCCATCGCCTCTGCCCAGAGAGCCCCCTCCCACACGCTTTCTCTGTCCCATAATTAGACTCTGTTCCCCATTCTTTCCCAAATCTTTTCACTCTGTCTTCTGAATCACCTGTTACCAGCAAATTCCCTTTATCTTCAATGAAGTTTCAGAATGATTTTTTTCCTCTTTGCTTACTTGAAGGCTGCCTTCTGCTGCAGGGGCTGCCCTCCTCCCCAGACCTCCAAGGGCTTTGCTTTGAATCTCGGCTATACCAGCACCAGCAGGATGGGGTCACCATCTTTGCTCAGTGCCACCACCTCCCAGAGCCATTACTGTCCCCCCACCAACATCATGGGACCACACCCTTCCATTTGATTGCTGTCACCTGCCCATCTCCTTGCTGGTCCCCTCGCTGCCAAGTCCTCCACCCCAGTGACTGGCCGTCCTTGGAGACGGCAATGTTGACCCCCCCAGGCATGCCTCAGTAGCCTTCCTGCAGGCAAATCTCCATCTCCACTACTGGTTCTGGGAACCTGGCCCATAGCAGTAAGAAAGCACCCAATGGCAGGTGCCAGAAAAGAGATCTGGTGAACAGGTGTCTGGAGGGGACTTTTCCAGTGAAATGCTCTATAGGTAATGCATTGCCCCCCCCATGAGCCCATACATTTTGTGTAAAATAATAAAAAGGGACTCTGTGAAACTGATCAATTCAGAATTGGTGTGGAACTGGACCAAGTCACACTGCATCGGTGGGAGGAGGTCAAGGCTGGAGACCAGTGGAGTGTCAACAGACAGTTGGTTTCAGTATTTTCACATATAACTTTTATTCTTTATTATTCCATGCCTTGGGAGCAAGGCTTCGGAGTGGCTCACCCGAGGGTCCCTCGCACGTCCCTCGTGCAGCCGTAGGACCTCTTGCTCAATCCCCAGTGAGTAAATGAGCGAACGCTGGCTGCTAGGCGGCAGAGGACATGAGGACGGCACTAGGGACACTTGGGGCTGTGTGCCAGAGTCCTGCGGAGGGCAAACTTGTCTCAACTACAAAGGCTGCCAGCTTCTAAGTCTTTGCTTGGGCAGGAAGCCCAGTATTTGATTTGATGCCAACTTGAAGACGTTGCCTGGTCTCCCCACTGAACTGCAGGATGAAGGCGCCGTGTAGGCATTCAGAGGATTCTCCTCCTCTTTGCCAAACAAAGCCATTCGCATTGGCCTCTTGTTTCATTACCTCTCGCCATTCTTTTCAGCTTTACTCCATAATCATTAGTCTCTAAATTTGTTTTGTTTTATTCCACTTGAATCATTTTTAAAACTTCATTTTTATAATTGTTCAATCCTTTAAAATGACATCCGGGTTGTTCATAACCTCAGTTTACGCTACTCCATTTTCCCTTTCTAAACTTAAAAGCTTTTTAGGTTGTTTATTTATCCTTTTCATTTCTTTGAAAATTAACTTTGTAAACTTCAGGCTGTGTCTTATAATTTATTTTTACTGCTATTAGCTTATTTTCTTTAAAGACTTTTTAGCTTATCGTAAGACAGGCCCACGGAGCTAGCACATGGGGCCCAGCTGTGTGGCCCCTGCACGTCTCTTTGGTCCAGCACAGCCGGCCCTTTCCAGGCCCTCATGGACATGGTGGAGCTGGGAGTTGCTGGCGACAGTCCCTGACCGGAAGGAGTCACGGCAGAGTTCCTGGGCTTTGGAGCCCATCACGTCCCTTTGAGCATAAGAGCTATTCTTTTGAAAATAGCTTCTGTTATGGCAGTGAGCACGAGGGGCCATACCATGAACCAGTCACAGACCAGCTGCTCCCCAGCCCACCTGCCGTGGGGTCAGGGATGCCCAGCGTCCCTGCATTTGGCAGAGGATCTGGGCTGGCCCAGGCAGGGGCTGCAGACCCAGGAACTTGGCACAAGCAAATAACTGACCCTCCTCTTCCGTCACCATGCCACCACTTTTTAGCCAACACCTGTGACAGTTTACAGGGGAGAAGAAAAATGGGGCATGATGCATAGACATCTCTGTATATGTGTTGGTGCCATGTGGCAGCGGGTTGAGAGAGTGTAAGCCCACAATGGGGGGTACGTTGAGGGACAGCAGAGAAGGGAAAGCCTCCTGAGAGCAGAACTATGAGTGATCATCTTGTCCACATAGCAGGAAGTAACCGTAACAGGGCAGAAAATGACAATGAGCGGAACCATGTCCTTCTCACGGTTACTGCCTTCGTGGCAGCCAGAAGTGAAGAAATGGCACGAGATGAGGATCACACTGATTCATGGACACGAGAGCCAGGGACCCAAATGAGCAGGACTGGAGCATTAGAGACAAGGACGTTCGGGACAAACGGCTGGTCCTTTTGAGATGAGCCCAGATGCCGAGACTCTCCGCATCCTGTCTGAAAGCCCGCCTGAAGCCCCCCTCTGTGGGGGCCTCTTGGTCTGCAGGTGGGTGAGCTGCCTCACTGGGGGGCTTTGCCAGCTTTCCCTCTGTTGACCAACGGCCGCAAAACCGAGTGGCCCTGGAGCTTGTGACACAGCCTGAGTAGGGTCTCCAGAAGAGGAACTCTGCCTCATCAAGGCCAGTGTGGCCGTTGCCGCTGTGGTGTTGTCTACTTGCCCGCAAAGTATGACCAGCCCTGGTCTCCATGGACCAACCAAGAGCTCCATGGGGGTGGACAACACTATAGCCATTCCCCCTTGAGGGAACAGTGGCTTGCCCTGCCTGGAACAGACACTAATGCTGAATTCGGTTTTGCTTTTGCTGGTTGCCATGCTCTGCCAGAGCCACTATCCATGGACGTACTGAAGTCCTTACTCATAGGCTGCCATGCAGCACGGCTTCTGCAGGGAGTCACTGTACAGGAAATAAGCTTCCCTGGCTTTCTCATGTATCCCACAGCCCCAAATCAACTGGCCTTATAGAAGAAACGGTGAATCAGTTAGGGTGGGCTAGGTTATGCTGAAGTAATAAACAAGCTCAAACACAATAATGCTTTATTTCTCACTCACATTTCAGGCCCAGCCCAGGCTGACAGCAGCTTCCTCATGACAAATGCTTCCACAGCTACCAACCTAGGGGGCGAAAGATAAGGCAATTCACACCCTGGCATGAATCATCGCTTCCCTTCTATGTCATTGGTCAAGCAAGGCACACGGCCAAAGCTAACTTCCAGGGGATGAGGAAGAACCTTCCAGCTGGGTTGCTGGGAAGAGAGGAGAGCCAGGATGTGTGATCATCCCAGTGACCAGGGTAGGTGGCTCACGGAGAACCCAGACCCGTGCCAGCCAGGGTGAACGCCTTGAGGTTTTGTGGTGGCGTCCTGTATGCTGTGCCATATGCTCTTAGCCAGAGACCAATATGTGGTGTGTTTCTTCCACAACTACTGTATGTGGGTTTCAGAACAATGAGGTGGAGGAGATGTGCAATTTCCCACAAGCAACCCTGGTAACCTGACTGGGTCTCTTCCCTCGCGTTGCCACAGTGCTGGCATCTTCTGGGTTAGCATTACTCTAGGCATGTCTGCTTCTTCCGATCTTACAACAAAGTTCCATCCACTCAGTCACAAATAATGCTGCTACTTGGCCAGTCAAGGTTTTTCACGCTACTGAGCTAACCAATGTAGAAGTGGATTATAGTGCCTGCATGGCTGATCCCGACCCTCAGGATAAATAATCTATTTGCTGCAAACTGGGTGGAGGGGAGCATGGATGCAGCCCGTAGGACTCCCCGCTGTGCCTCCTAGGACCGCTGAGCACACCGATCGAGGTCACCTGAGAACAACTGCAGCTGCTTGGAGGCGGGACCCCCAAGCACGCCTACTCCTTAGCCATGAAGCCAAGGCTCCCCCTTGCCTGAGAACCTCAACTAACTGAGTTCATCTTTTGTCACAAATGCACCACGTTAATGCAATGCCAGCACTAGGGAAACTGTGTGTCTGGGGGGATTTCTGGGAACCCTCCTCAGTACTTCCTGTGCAGTGTTTCTGTAAAACAAAACTACTCTAAAAATTGAAATTGACTAATAAAAAAAACCCCAAAAAACAAAAACTAAACGATGCCCTAATGGGAAAACATTAATTGGGTGTGTGTTCCTTGGAGAATGCCTGGTGAAGGGTAAGTGAGCGCTGGGTGGCAGAAAGGTTTGCTACGGTGGACAGATGT